CCTCATAAATACTTTTACACATTCACAAAGATTTATGTTACAGGATGTTCACTGCTGCATGTCTGTAGTAACAAAAAACTGGAAATAACCAAATATCCAAAAAAATAGGGGCGTTTAAATAAAGTGTGGTGTGTGTTTGTAGCCCTTAAGAAAGAATATGTACTGTCATAGGAAGATCTCCAACGTATATAAGTTTAAAAAGCAAATTGTAGAGCTATATGTACAGTAATGATACCATTAAAAAAATACCAAAGCTTCCTGTTTGTATATAAACAAATGCATATGTACGTAAATGTTGAGGAAGGATACACACAAAACTTAACAGTGAAAGGGACACTTCCAATTTTTATCCTATATTCTTCACTACCGTTTGTTTTTTTTTACAAGAATGTTTGTCTGTTATTTGTATGAGTAAACAAAATTAAAAGATAACCATTAATAGAATGTAAATAGTATGTAGAGTTTCCCAACCACTAATAGTTGAAAAAAAGGAAATTCAGTCAGTCCAGCAAAAGTAAGGAAAGGGAAAAAGAAACAATAATAACGTGTGATAAATAGAACTTTTAAAAAAGTGACATGAATATGTAGTACATCCATATAAAGTATATTATGCTGCCCTTCAAAATGGTGAGGTAGATTTATGTATACTGACAAGGAAAGATGTCCATGATATAATATTATGCAAAAAAATTAAAGTTACAGAACAATTCATATAGTATGATTCCTTTTTTTTAAAGCAAAAACTCTGTGTTGCTAAATGTATAGAAAAAGATCTTTAATTAGCAAATTGTTAACTGAAGTTACCCTTGAGGAGTGGGTTTTGTTTGGGCAGCAGGGAGTAAGGGGTGATGTCACCTGATTCTGTAGTCAAAAGTTGTTGAGACCTGGACATTTCTAGATGTACGGCTGATCATATTACTCCCTTCCCTGCTTGAAACCCTTCAGTGGTGACCCATGACCTGCCGGATCGAATGCAAACTCTGGAGCATGGCATACAGTGGTCGGCATGACCTGAAACCTGCCTGCCTCTCTGTCTTCATCTCCCGCTGTACCCACCACTGGCCTGCTGCGTGTCAGTGACCAGCATAGTAATATTTGCATTCGCTTAAATGGGCCATGATTTTTCTCATACGTCCATGTCTTTGTACACACTGTTCCCTTTTTCAGGTAACCTGTAGGTCTGCAGATCTCACCATCCTGATACTGTAAATTAAGTTCAGATTTGTAATAATTAATAATACAGATTACAACAACTTTAAGTCCCCATCTTGTGGACCATGGAAAGTTTATTTTTCTACCAGGTTGGAAACTTTTTATTACATAATTTTAATACATATGAAAGAATATGTGTGACAGCTTATGGAGCATTAGAATAAAACAAACATCCATGAACCCATCATCAGCTTAAGAACTAGAACATGCTTTTGAATCTACCTAAATTCTCCCCCCTTGCTTCCCCAAGAGCAATCCCCTATCCAGGATTTTGTATTTATTATTTCTCTTCTATATTTTAATGGTTTTACCACATTATATATCCATAAGTTTTCCTTTTTTCTTTCTTTTTTTTTTTTTTTTGGTGAGGAAGATTGGCCCTGAGATGACATCTGTTGCCAATCTTCTTCTTTTTGCTTGAGGAAGATTGTCCCTGAGCTAACCTCCGTGCCAGTCTTCCTCTATTTTGTATGTGGGATGCTGCCACAGCATGGCTTGATGAGCAGTGCGTAGGTTCACACCCGGGATCTGAACCTGCAAACCCTGGGCCACCACAGCAGAGTGCATAAACTCAACCACTATGCCAATGGGACTGCCTGAGTTTTCCTTATTTTTGAGCTTTACAAAAAGGTTAGCAAATTGTATATATTCTCCTCTGATTTGCTTTTTTTATGTAACTTTATTTCTGTGATTTATGCATGTAAGCAGTAATTCATTTTTCAATGCTGTGTAGTATTTTGTTGCATGAATATGCCACAAATTATTTAGCCACTTTATTGAAGAATAGTCTCTTGCCATTCTTTGAAGTCTGTATCAAAGGTGATGAGGACTAGGAACAGAAAATCCTTAGCATGTCTTTTTTTAAGTAATTTTACTGGGATTATAATGGTTTATAGCATTTGTAATTTCGAGTATACATTGTTTATTAATCTTAGCATGTTTTAAATCACTTCCTCCTTTGTGCCATCGGTTAATATTTTCATATCCCTACTTTTAGCACTTAGTATATTCAAGGGCAAGGATTAGCAATTTTTTTCCTGTAGAGGACTAGGTAGGAAATATTTTAGGCTCTGTGGTCCATATGGTCTGTAGCAACTACTGAACTCTGTTGTTTTAGCACAAAAGCAGCCACAGAAAATATGTAGATGAATGAGTATGGCAGTGTTCCAATAAAACTTTCTTTATAAAAACAGGCAGCTGGCTAGGTTTGGTCCACTGGTTGTCATTTCCCAAACCCTGCTTTAGTTCATCTGAATTCCTGTAGCATTGTCCAGTATTGTCTTATCATCTTGTTTCCCATGCCTCCTCCCCCGCCCACCCAAACCCCCAGCCTTCTGTGATTCAGAGCTCCTCTATCTAAGGATGAGCCCAACCTGTAAGTCCAACTCCTGAACCAGTGTGGCTCAAAGCAAGAATTATCAGTAGCCCCAGCTCCAACAGCCAAGTAGGGTATAGTAGTAAGGGCTGGTGCTAAGGGGCCTAGGAATTGCTGCACCAGATTTGAGACTGGGATGCTGCCTTGATTTCCCTCTTTAGCACTCCAGAGTTTCTGTTTAGGACTGAAACTATTCCCTGAGAACTAGCCTCCTTGCAATTTCCCGAATATGCCTTATTCTCTCTCACCTTCAGGATTTTGTGCCCCCTGCTCACTCCCACACCCCTTGCCTTCAATTCCCACTTACCCTCAGGGATTTAAGTGGAATTACTTTCTCTGGAAGCTATTCTTAATTCCCCACCCCGATCCTTTCTCCACCGCACCCTGCCTTCCTCGGCTGGCTGTTCAGGTGTCTCTCCTCTGTGTTCCTATAGCAGCCTTTATGGCTCCGTCCTGTAATGGTCTGCCTCACCCACTAGGCCAGTTGAGAACTGTGTCAGGGCAAGGGTTGTCTTTGTACACTCAGTGACTGGATCAGAAGGGTTCTCAGGCAAGGTTTGTTCAGTATTTGCCTGGATTTGGCTAGAAGGAGCTGATTTCTACTTCCGGTGAAGATCAGCCTGACTGAAGGTCCAGCCAGGGAATGGACTAATTCTCTAGAAGTAAACTGCCACTTGAATGTGCATTGCTTGCTCCTGTGTCCTGCCTGCTTGATGATGGCTTGAACTGAATCCAAGCTTGGTCTCCTTTTGGGCACCGTGATTTGGCTCATCTCAATAAAGGAGTTATTTTATTATTCATTTTTTTCTCCTGGTGAGTGGGGCTCTGAACTTCTTTTCCTAACTTTTCTATTACTTGAGACAATTTTATAGCATGTCTCCTTACTAAACTGTAAACCGTGGGAAATACTATATTTGGAGTTAGAGAAAAACTTTAAGTTTGGTTTAAGTCTGTGTGCTTTACGACTTTGGTGGTGTTCCAGGCCTTCCCTGAGCCTGTTTCTCATCTGTAAAATGGGGATGGCAGTTGACTTCTCACAGTGTGGTTAAGAGGATAAAATAAGATTGCGTGTGAAAGTCCTTTGAAAAACTGTAAAATCAACTGCACATGGAATTTTGTATTAGTTCTGTATTCCCTTATGACATCTAGCACCGTGCCTTGCCCAGGGTAGTTGCTCAATACATTTTTGTTGAATGACCAAATGAATTGGCAAGAGAAATAATGCTATTGGTGGGAATAAAGGACATCTAATAGAATCAAGGAAAAACAGAGCGCTTGGCAATAGAAACATCCATATGATGAGTGATAATTCAGAAGTTGGGCATTAATGGATAGCTCCAAACTTACATTCCCAACGTCTGCTCTCTGTTTTTCTTATAAAAAATATTTAAAATTCTTTTTAACATGATGTCGGCAGTAAGGATAAGCTGTCAAACTTGACTAGATCTTAAATACTTAGTCATCACAAAGCAGGATTGGCCCCAGGCAATGTTGTGAGGTCAGCAAAATGTACTTTCTCCCCTTACATTGCAATGCCTATTCCTAGTTCTGTTTACCTCCAGGCATTTAGGACTTTTGTATTATCCTTTGTTCCCAAGAAGCGTTTACCTTAAAGGGTCAGGAACTAAGTCTCTCTGGACGATTTGCTTTTGAAAACAGGATTCCTAGAGAAGGAGGCTATTTTATCAAAGAGAATTAATAAATAATTGTGAAATTTCGGGCATTAAAGGGAATACAAAGGCTTATGAACCCCATTCAAATCACAAAGGTATGTACTTCACCTACAGCTGTGGTCCCTACCCCGGAGGTGCGGAGAATCACCTGGAGAGCTTCTTGAAAATGCTGACAGTTGAGGCCCTACTCCCAGAGTTCTAATTCAGTTAGATGAGGTTCAGACCAGGGCAAAGGGGTTTTTAAGAAAACTCCCCAGGCAATTCTGCTGTACAGTCTGTTGTACAGTCAGAGTTGGGGACTGCTGATTTAAACCTCCGTTGGCCCTGTTCTTGAGCAAAAGAAAAGCTGAATGCCATAGGAAGATCAAACCTTAAAGCAGGGTGGGGGTGGAGGGAGTGCGAGAGTCATGGATAAAGTGAACAGAAGGTTAAAAATAGGCCCAGCAACTCCACAATAAGCAGGTGCTGGGCAGCACCAAAGGAAGAAGTAACCTGTGGCTGATCTGGTCCCCCATTCCCAAACCCCCAGGGAAAATGGCCTGGCCCTAACTGTTAAGGCCTTAAATCTACTTTCCAGATGGTTCACTGGTATGACAGTAGATAAAATCTCTGAGCTAAGGGGTTAAGTCCTCAAATGGTTAATGTACCTGTCAGTAAGTCTTCAGTTGATGAGATAACATTACATAGAAGATAAAGGATTTTGTTAAAAATATGAGACCTGTGTTATTTACATTTTACTGAGTACTGTAGGTTCGGCATTTGTTATTAAGTTCCTTTTGCTCTATAAAGCAACTCCAGGATGGGCAAAGGGTGACTTTACATAGTGTAGTGGGATCATGTTTGCTTAAGCTTTGGCCTTCTCAGTCCCCCAGAGCAGGGCCTTGCTGTTGCTTGCATCACAAAGCCCTTATTATGATACAATGGTTACAATCTCACCACTGCTGGCTTTGCGCTCTCAGTGTTGCCCTGCTTCAGAGATGGTCCTGGAGAAGAGTGGATAGAGAACATGGACCACCGTTTACCCAGCAGTGGTCTTTTCTGGACACATTCTTAAATAGTACTTGCTGCAGAATCGTCTTGGGTATTCCCCTGAGCAAGCAGTATCTCCTATTTTTAAGGAAATTCCCACACATGAATAACAAGGCTTCCAAGAGTCCACCAACAAGCCCCTGCTCTGAGATGTCCGGAGAAGACCCAAACCCAAGCACCCCGGGGAGTCCTCGTGATGAAAGCGAAACAGGTTATACTTTTTAGAGAGATGCCTACAGAAATGGGAGAATGGACATTAGAAAAACTAGTCCTCTGTCTTTCTTCCTTCTTTCTTTCCTTTCTGTATTTCTTCCTTTCTGTATATATATATATACCTTTATAAATAGCTACAGATTTACTTATTTACTTGATTAAAAGAAGGCCAGTAATAACTATACCTCATCTGGCAGCAGTGTAAAGTTTAATTAATGTTTCTAAGGTATGAGTTGAACTCACAAGATGAAAGATTCTATATATGTAATATGTGTTAAGTGCCCGATCTGGTTTAGTCTGATAATGGCCGTAATTTATGCTCACGCCTTGATTATTGTGGTTTCAGTGAGTTAAATCTTGAAAAATGCATTTTAATGTTGAGAATGTGTTTAACATTGGTTGGCAAACGTTTGAGTGTATAAAACATATGCTTATGTTTTAGCTAGCCCCAATTAGTTGATTCTTGATGTAAAAGATGTTTTACAAAGCAACATGGGAGGTTTTTCTTCTTTTTAAATTGATCCTCAAAAAAAAAGAAAAAAAAATTGATCCAAGGGTCCAAGGAGACACAAAGTTCTGGTCCTCATACATCAGATAGTAATATCTAAATTGGTTTGTGCCACAAAATATAAATGTTAAATTTAAAAAATAATTTAAATTAATTATTAAAATTTTATATCTGTATTAAGGGTATTGCTGAATATGCTTAATATTACATATTAAGATGTGCTGAATATGTGAGGATTGACCTGGTACAAAATAAAGTGAGGTTGTAAAATGTCAAAAGGAAGCTTGTTACTAATCACTAAGAAAAATAAAGAAAAAATATTTTTTCCACAAAACTCACTTAAGGATATTCATGGAAAACTTAAATAGTAGGTTAGACTCCTGGGTCATTTAAAGTGAGCTAGGGCTCAAGAGCCAAGAATCTGTGCTTTTAGAACTAACATTTACCTGGGAAGACTGAAGGGCTTAGATAACCATGTCAGATTGGGAGCTATTATTACTAGAATGTAGTTGAATATTAACAAGACTCAGCTATCCTTTATGTTAGTATAAAAGTTTATCTTTGTATGGCAAAAGCAGTTTTCTTTTTATCTTCATGTCCATTCCCTTTCAGTTGTACTAATATTTATAATTTTTAAAATAGCTAGCACTCCATATACCCTTCTAAGGAATATAATTACATGAATTAGAACAAGGCTCACTTTTTTTTGTCTTGAAAAGTCCTCAGCTGGTCCATCCATACACCCTTCTAAGGAATATAACTATATGAATTATAACAACTTTGTTCATTAAATCCTGAAAATTAGCCAGCTAATCCTCCCTTATAAAGGCACGGCATTATTTTATTCTCATTCAATGAAATATTCCATTCAATAAGTATTTACTCTGCGTTTACACAATTGTTCAGCGTTATGTGCAATGTGAAGTGCAATAAAGGAGAGCTTCATGTTAGGACACCTTCCCTGGCCTTAAGAGTTTACAGTCTCATTTTAGGCGGCAAGAGCGATATGGTATATTCAAAACAGATAGGAGTTTATCTTCCCCCTTTCAGGCCTCTATCTCCTTTCTCTGCGGCCCTGGGGCCTAAGTTCCATTAGAGCTTTGCTCTCTGCCTGTTGTCATCAAACAGGACAAAGCTGATAATAGCCCAAGGTGGTGCCTTTTCTAAGAGGATCTGCATTTTAATCAAGGACTTTTCAAGACAACAAAAAAAAAAACCAAAACAGTGGGTCTGGGTAAACAAAGTTAGAATATTGATTTATTCTTAGGGTTCTGATTTGTCAATCTCAAGCTTTACAATACAAACTGTTTTTACTCCAACCACAACCCTGTCTTGCCCCTGCTTTTAAAAGCCCAGCTTGCTGGCTTATCTCCATGCTGCCTACCCTAGCCCACAGGGTAGACTCCAAAATTTTTGGCTTTGTGTGCCAGGCAGTCTTGAGGCTCATCTTCCTTACTTCCAACCAGACATCCTACTTTCCAGCCTCACTGCACTTTCCATATTTCCATAAACAGGCCAGGCCCTTTCACAACTCCTTGCTTTGCCCCTGTTTCCACTGCCCAGAATGCCTTTCACCCTCTCCCCTCTTGTCAAAAGTTTTGGCAACTCCCACTTTGAGACCCAGCATAAACATCAGTTCCTCTGTGAAACTCTTTCTGACTATTCCAAAATTACCCCAGATTTCTTGTTTCACCTGTTCCCATAGCACTCTGTACATTTGTTATAGTACTGTTATGGAAATTAGTTTTGAAACTCTCTTCCCCCACTGGCTTCTCCATGGCAGGGACCTGGTAAAGTGTCTGGCATACAAAATCTTTCAGTACCTGCTCGTTGAATGTTTCTGCAGTTAGAATGATCAACAGGTTGGCAAATTTAGTTTTATTTGACATTGTGTACTCTCATCCTCCCTCCAAAAAAAGGCTTCGGGTTAAATAAAAACTCCCAACAAGGAATTTACAAGGTTTGTTGTTGCTAATTTAATCAAATGTAGAGATTTGTTCTTATGAGTAATCCATTTTAAAATTTGGGCTCATGGAATACATTGGTAGAAAACATTGACTTCTGCCAGTATTGTTCTCCTAAAATGTCTTCTTTGGGACGAAGTGTATAAACTGAGGTTTGGTAAAAGACGTGGCTTTGTCTAGTCTGTAAATTACTAGGTTAATGACAGATGAGGTCGGGCTTGGGGTTGGTCCTGGGAATTGGGGGGGGGGGGGCGTGTTAGTTACCTTCCCGTTTCTTGGCCTTAAAATGCACGCTTAACTGCGGCCAGCTATCTTAGAAAATGCTCCTGGTAGGAAGGGAAAAGAATTTGTAGCTATATTACTGAGAAAGGTATCAAAATTCAGGCCCCATTCAGTATTGGGTCAGTGATGTCCTTGACATAAAAGAGAAACAACTTATAGCGCAACTCAATCAGAACTCCTTTTCTTTCCATCTAAGCTCTTTTTCTTTTCCTATCTTAACATGACATTCCTCCCTAGCAGGGGGCATAATGGCATGATTATATTTTCGTCCATTTCGGGTTACTCCCCTCGTCTTGCAACCCCTCCTCATTCCTTTATCTCTTTCAAAGTTTCCATTCTCCGTTCCCTTACTTTTTACTCCCTCCCTTCCTCTCTCCCTCCTCCTCTTTTTTCCCAGCTAGCTCACCCCGCCCCTCACCGTCACCACTTTCCCTCCCCTTCAGGCTCCTTCCCGCTCCTTCTCCCGCCACCCCCTCCTCGCCCGCCCCGCGTCCAGAAATCGCCAATCAGGAGCTCCGAAGGTGCCCGAAGGCCCGCCCCTCCTCCCTTTCCACCTCTCCCCCTCCCCTTTTCTCCCTCCCCCACCCCCCCTTTCAAGTCCTGCGGACCTGGGGGCTTCGGGATCTGGGCGCTATGAAAAGTGTCTGCCCAGTCACTTCCGGTAAGGGCGTTGCGGCGCGAAGCTTCCCGCGGGACCGTTAAGGAGGGGGTGGGAGTTACCGGTGGGCCGGGTGAGGAGAGTGCAGCCCGGAAAGGTGAGCGGGTGAGGGAGGGGGAGGGAGCGCGAGCGCGAAGGAAGGAGCGCCAGCGTCTCGGGTGCCTTAGCCGCCCCTTTCCCGCCGCCTCCCCGCGAGCCGGCGCCCCCGCCCCCCCGGGCGCCCGCAGTGCTTCTCTCCACCCCCCACCCCCGGGGACAGACGCCGCCCCTCCCTCGCCGCCGCGTGACCGGAAGTGGCGCCATCTTTAGCCTCTTGTGCTATTGACAATAACAAGCCCCGGCTCTCTCCCCCTTCCCCCTCCCCCCAAGCACGGCGTCTCCCCTCCCTGAGAGGGGGAGAAAAGGAGGAGGAGCTGCCGCCTCACAGACTCACTGAGTCGCTCCTGCAGAAAGGGGGGAGAGAGACCGAAAAGCAGGGGAGGGGGACGGCACGGCCGTTTACCTGTCTGCCTCCTCATTCGCTCTCCCCCCTCGTTCTGCTCACTCCTGGTGTCAGCCTATCCGCCTTCCCAAACCCTCCCATTCCCCCGGTGTAGCCCCCCCTTCACTTTCCTTCTCGTCCTCTGTGTTTCTCCTCTCTTCTTTCTTCCCTTCCCCCTCTAGCATTGCCACCTTCTCTCCTACACGCACGCAGGCATATAAACGTAGGTTTTTGATGCTCCTCTGCCTGTTGACCCCGCTATTTTCATGTTTCCAACAGGTTTTTCTTCCCCCAATCCCTCAGCTGCTGCTGCTGCTCAGGAGGTCAGATCTGCCACTGATGGTAATACCAGCACCACTCCGCCCACCTCTGCAAAGAAGAGAAAGTTAAACAGCAGTAGCAGCAGTAACAGTAGTAACGAGAGAGAAGACTTTGATTCCGCCTCTTCCTCTCCTCCTTTACAACCCAGGGATTCGGCATCCCCTTCAACCTCGTCCTTCTGCCTGGGGGTTTCAGTGGCTGCTTCCAGCCACGTACCGGCACAGAAGAAGCTGCGTTTTGACGACGGCGTGGACTTTGTAGGGTTTGATGCGAAGATGGCTGAGGAATCCTCCTCCTCCTCCTCCTCCTCTTCACCAACTGCTGCAACATCTCACCAGCAGCAACTTAAAAATAAGAGTATATTAATCTCTTCTGTGGCTTCGGTGCATCACGCAAACGGCCTAGCCAAATCTACCACCGCCTCTAGCTTTGCTAACAGCAAGCCTGGCTCTGCTAAGAAGTTAGTGATCAAGAACTTTAAAGGTAACCAAGGCCAAAATCCATAATCACTTACTAAGGATTTGACACTTGAGCGGTCACGTGCTCTATTTATGTTAATATATTAAACAGTGTAGAGGTGGCCTAATGTTTTATGCATAATCAGTGAGGCGGAGGGAGGTCCTTTTTTGGGTGGAGGGTTCATTTTCCGGGGATGGTTAGTATCCTTGTGCTGAAGTATACACTGGGTGTTTCTGTGCAGTATTTTGAGGTCTGTCTCAGCCTATCGTATCTAATCTGTTATTCCTTATAACACTGACAATCGGTATGTTTGATCCGGATTTTACAGGTGAGAAATTTGTATTTTAAAGAGGTTTATGTATTTCAGGTGCATAGTGAGCCTTGGCATTGCTGGGAATTTTATTTTTATGCTTCAGTAGGCCACATTCTCCAGTCCCTAGAAATGCAGGTAGCAATGGTGATATGTTCATGCTCAAATAAGATTTACAGTTAGATTTATGATGTTGAATGCTATATTCTTGAAACTCATTGTGTTAGCAGTACTTGGAGAAAAATATTTATGATCTCTGCATTTCTTTCCAAAGGTGGGCTTTGGAAGTGAAAAATAATGTGTTAACACAGAAGTAGTAACTGTGTACCACTAGTCTAAAGATAGGATCAATTACTACATCTATTTTTTTATCACTAAAATAGGTTTTAAAGCACTGACCTGCAGCTTTTAGGAAAACTTCTTCATTTTGTGTTTGCGATGTGATGGAGAGTGTTATAAATGCATTGATGCAAATATAAAATCAGCAATTTTAAAAAATGTAGTTGAGCTGATTTACTTTTTATCTGTTGACTGTGTTTCTGTTTTTCTGACTTACTTTTTCAACACCCTTAACTGACAGGTATTAGATGCTAAATTGTATATTAAGTGGAGAAGTAAATGAATGAACTAAAGTAATATTTACCAGATAAGTGCCTTGCGGCTAAGTGTTAGTATTGAGAAAATTAGATTCTCCATGCTTGTGTTTTCAACATTAGTGTGGAAATCAAGAATATGCTCTATTTTGTCTCAAGCAGAGGATTATAGTGTTGTTTATTTTTAACCATTTTTTTGTGTCACTCCTCTCTCATCCCCAAGCTCTCAAGAGTGTTGTAATGTTTCTGATTTAATAGTAGACCTTTCTGAAGTAAATATGAATTGTAATTGACTAATGTGTTCACTGTTTCATTTAAAATATGTTGATTTAATAGCCAAGGATTTTTAAAGAGATGAGCTGTGATCCTAATTGTATTTGCATACTGGTTTCAGAGATTTTTGTTTGGGTTTTTTCTCTCCCTCCTAAAATAAAAACACCTTATTAAGATATTTGGGTGTTTTCATTAAAAAAAAGCTCATTGCTGGTCAGTGAAGTTTAAATTAAATCCTGGATTAAGATTCCTTTTCCTTTTCATTCTAAAAAATGCTACATAGGTTCTGGAGTCATTTTGATGTTTTAATTTCTTAACATTTTACTATGCTCAGAAATGCAGTTTAAGTTAAAACCTGAATTAAGATGTTTCTCTCAATTTCTGTAGATGCTGCATAAATGTGAGGGGTCAAACAGACCTAGATTAGAATCCCAGTTTTGCCATTGGCTAGCTGTGGTGACCTTGGGCAAGCCTTACTAAATGAATCTTCCAGCCTCAGTTTCCTCAGTTGCAGAATAGGGATAATAATACCTTCCTCGGGGCATTATTAGGAAGATTCAGATGTTTATAAAGTACCTTGTGCATAATAGGCACTCAGTGTTTTAAATCTCATGTACAGAATTCATGTTGACTGACTTAGGTTTTACACATGATTGAATAGGATCAGGATTGTTATTTTTTATCTGTCATTCTTGAATTTTTGTTTTTTGAAGCAATACAGTCAATAGGAGATAAAATCCTCACCTTCAGTTTTAATAGGTGAGTCAAAATGACTTGAACAGTATGCTGGCATTTGAAATTTTATTCTTTATACTAAACTAAATACAGTGGTTACATGAATATTTAGGTGTAATAATTATGAAGATCACAATTACTCCTAAAAAGCAGTCATAGTGTTATTGTATTTTATGGATCCTTCTATTACTATATTGTACATATTATTCTGATGTCAACCTTTTATATATCATCTAGATAAGCCTAAATTACCAGAAAACTACACAGATGAAACATGGCAGAAGCTGAAAGAAGCGGTGGAAGCTATCCAGAATAGCACTTCGATTAAGTACAATTTAGAAGAACTGTATCAGGTCTGTATTAATGTGAACAACCAGCTTTCATTAGCATAAATTGAAGTGGAATGTATATGAATTTTACTTCCTGAAATGGGTCCTTATGTGGACTTTTGGTTCCCTCCTAATTATAGTTTCTCGATTAATTTATGCACTGTTTTATAATCAGACTACGTATTCTGACATAAACTATGGGTACAGTCATATTGGTATAAATTGGGCTTATCTGGGACCCTTCTCATTAGGATTTATACTTAGGAGTACCTTGGTATAATAGAGGATTTACCTGTAATGGAATCCTATAGCCTGGATCTCAAAGGTGATTTTTGGTGACATGTCATTTTATTGTGATGCTTCTTGCTAAGTGATGTTACTCACCTGTAAGAAAGGCCTCAAGAAATACAGATATTTCCATACACTTTATTCCGCCTCTTTTCTATTAGTGGCCTTTGGTCATTTCTTTTTCTTTCTCTTTGTTTGTCTAATCTCCTGAGCTACTAGACACACCTTAGCCAAAATATGAGCAGCAGGTTGTATTCCAGTGATGGTCTGATGTTCAGGTTTGTTTCTTTTGCTGAACGAACAGGTCTGTACTGAAGTGTTTAATTTAAATATACTGTTAAAGGCAATTACTGATTTAGATTTCTTACTACCAAGATATTTTGCCCTACCTGTGTTTTTGACACAACCAGTTCAAGAAGTTACTTTGCATTATAGCATCAGCAGTTTTGTATTAAAAAAATACTTCAGAGTCCAAAAGCTTGAGTTTTTGTATTGATGAATACCTTTTAAGAAATTCCGTTGGGTCAGTTGATCCGAATTTGTAGTTTTCATCTATTCATTTTAGTTATGGAGGTAGTATGGTGATGGACAGACCCTGGATTAGGAGTCAGAAGACAGGTTTGGGACCTAGTTTGGGCTGCTGTTATCCTTGTGATCTTGGTCAAGGAGCTAAACTTCTCCCAGCTTCAGTTTTCTCCTCTGTAAAATAGGGGAAAGAGTACCTGCCCTATTTACCTCAAGAGGTTGCTTATAAGAATCGAATAAGATGTTTGTGAAAAACCCCTCAAGCACTATGATTCAGAAATATAAGATCATATTATCACTAGTCAAACTTCTTCATAAGCCACAGTGTGGCCTTTTCACTCGTAGTATGTCAATTGAGATCACCAATTTCTGTTGCTGTGAAGGTTAAATGATTCAGTGCATGCCAAACAGAATGATGCCCAACATGTAGTAATAATGCTATGTAATAGTATAAGCATGATAATGCTATCTAAGTGTAGGTGGTAGTAGTACTGCTAAGGTATTACTTACGGATAAGCCCACCTCATTTGCCTATGTTGGTATATTACATACGTGGCTCCTAAGTTGTACAATAATAGAAGTGGAATTATGGAATTAGAGTTGGAAAGGCCTTAAAAAAGATCATGTGGTCCAGTATCTTTTGTTCATACATGGAACAGCCTGCAAAGCAGGTTCATTGTTTAATATCTCATTTAAGAATTTAGAGACCCTTTGTGAAGTAGATAGGGTAGTGTAGTTATTATCCCCTCTCTATTGATAAGGAAACTGAGTCTCAGGGAAGTTAAATACATGCTCAGAGTCATACATTGGCAGAGCAGGGGACTGGAACTGAGGTGCCCAAGTTTCTAGTCCAGCGCACTTTCACTTACTGCTGCCTCACTAATACACCATAGCAGTTCAAATACCTCTGTAGTGCAGTGTTTGAAGCACTTTTGAAATACTTTTACTTTAGGAAAAAACTCTTTGTCATCAAAGAAGGTAATTTTTTTCGTTCACGCACATATATGGTGTTTATTTGGATATGCTGGTGTTCGGCATCTTTAATTTCAGTAACGTCTTTATTTCATATTTATAACATTGATTGTAGTTGTTAATGAACCCTATTTATTTTACTTTAAATATTTTTCCATAGCTTTTGGTTCAAAATATTTTTCCTGATAATTTGATTCTGTTAAATTCCTTTATGTTTCAAGAGCTCATAGCTTACATTTTTTGTGTTTTTCCTTTTCTATGCTTCAGAATTATTATCCGCTGTTGTTCAGGTGCACTTCTTCAGCCTAAAATCAATGTTATAACTTTTCACTATTTGTATTTTTCATAGTACTTTACTACTTCTGCTCTAATAAATTCGGAAGCATTTGTTTCTAGCTGCTTTGTTATTTTGGACCTTAATTTTACAAATGCTCCTTTCGATTGTTCTCAGAAAGATTGAGATGTTCAAGTTCAAAAAAGAGGATAAAAGGATAAAGGGAGTAACATTTTTTCATACCATTTGGATTTCAGGTGCTTCTTTGATTTTGACTGGTTGAAATGTAATTTAAAATTACTCTCCTAAAATTGAAACAATAATAAAGTATGTAGTATACCAAACATACCAAACAAAAGTTCTCCAAATTTCTCATTACCCCATCTCACCCTCTGTCCCTGAAGTAAACACTTATAAATTTGGCATGTATCTATGCAGAAGTTTTTTCTGTGCGTACAAAACCATTTTGCTTTAAAGCTTACCCATGGAAGTCCCTAGTGTGGATTGCGTGTACTGCCTCCTAAGTTTTTAATTTCTCGGAAAGAACATGCTCTTGAGTGCATTGGCAATAAGCAGATGTTGTCTTTTAAAGGTGATTTTAAATTAGAATTGTACCTGAGTTTAAAAATTATCTTTCTTTGACAACCTCGAAATCCTGTAAGAGTGAGGCAGTGGTTAATGTTGTTTTGGTTTGTTTTTTTTTGTTGTTTGCTTGTTTCTGATTGACAACAGATAGGAGTATGGTTAAATGCACTGACTTTGAGTTGATCAGCCTCCTTAGATTAGAGATCTGCCATTCATGATAACTTTGGGTGAGTCAGTTCTCCAAGCTTTGGTTTCCTCATTTGCAAAATGGGGAGACTGACAATACCTATATGGCAGGGTTGTTTAGTTATAAATAAAATGCTGCAAACAACTACTTACTACAGTGCCTCCTGTATATTGATGTTATCCATGATGATGATGATAATAAATATTTGAGTCTTTAAAAAAAGATACCTTTGTTTTAAGATTGCATTTTGGTATACAACTCTAACGCCACATTTAGTTTTTCGATTCTAAATCCACACTGGGCCAGAACAGCTGGCTGATAAATAGATTACATTGCACATATGTGTTGGTAGACACCATTAGCCAAATTGAAAAAATACTAGAAAAAGAGAGGAACTCTCTAGGAACAGTGTCCCTCTGCACTTCTCAAGAATGTGCCTTGTTTTTACATGTGGTGTCTTAATAGTTGGAATTTTGGTTTTGGCATGTCACTTTTTTACTAAGTAATATTTTAAATAATGGGATTATTTTCCTCATGTTCTCAGCCTTTGTATGAGTAGCTGTGTAGTGTTTTTAAATCAGTTAACTTTTTTGGAGCTGGCTGTTTGTTTATATATGAAAGTGTAACATTTATTCTTAATATAAATGTCTAGCTATTATCTTTGAAGGCAAGCCTAGTCCATACTTCAATTCTGATGAAAGTAATTTTATCTATCATTAATAACAGAAACTTAGGGCCGGCCCGGTGGTGCAGCAGTTAAGTGCGCACGTTCTGCTTCGGCGGCCCGGGGTTCACCGGTTTGGATCTCAGGTGCAGACATGGCACTGCGTGGCAAGCCATGCTGTGGCAGGCATCCCACATATAAAGTAGAGGAAGATGGGCATGGATGTTAGCTCAGGGCCAGTCTTCCTCAGCAAAAAGAGGAGAATTGGCAGCAGATGTTAGCTCAGGGCTAATCTTCCTCAAAATAAAAACAGAAACTCTCGTTTGGTTAGCTTTTTGTGAAATATATCTTAAATAATGAACCTTTCTATTAATGATTCGTTTATCGAGTAGATGACCACAAGACTGGAAGCAAATAGTGCATTCATCTCAGTATAGGTTATTATCTGTTATAAAATCTGGTTGCTTAAGCAGTCAATGGTTTGTAGGCAAGCAGATTCTTAGCAAGGATGACTAGCTCTTGTATTTTCTGTAAGTTTGTTTAACTGTTGTTACTCTTGATGTTTTTAAGCTTAGTCTGTCACGTTATGTATTGCTCCTCTTTTTACTGAATTAATACTATCCTGCTATTTTAAAAAAATGCAACTACAAATTCTTAGTACTTGGTAATTTCAGTTTTATTTAAGCCCTTTTTACTAGATGTAAAGAGGAAAATTTAGCCTTCATTGTCTGGCTTCCTTTTTGCAAATTCTTAGTTTTTGATATATTTTGAGTATCTTCTTTTAGCCATTTTTACTAGATATAAAATAGAGATAATTTAGATTTTGTTGCTGTATCAGTTGTTGAAAAGTTTTGTGGTGTGGTCTTTCCTTTCTTTCTTTGAAACATATGGTTGGAAAAAATAAGACCGAACCTGTTAGGTCAATGACCAGAGTTCAGCACCCTAATAGGAATTTAATATCTTTCTTAGTGTCTGTTGTTAGATCAAAAACATTTTTAGATTTCCTCCCTTACCATGTTTTAGTCCTTTATTTTTTGCACTCTTTGTATCTTTTATCTTTATTTTAGTCATCTTCATTTTTTATTCTAGTTTTTTCACCCTTATTTGCACTCCTTCCCTCGTCCCAAATGCAAATCTTGTGCGCCTTTGCTGCTGCTTAAATCCTATATTCCCCGAAGCATCAAATTTCACAAACTGTAGTTTTGCATTTCATTTTCTACATATTTATATTTTTTTGGAGTGTGGTTTTTTTTTTTTTCCAGACAAACACGTTTTTGATGTGACATGTATGTATTTGGGTAGGGGAGGGGCCGGGATTTGGAGGAATAAAGGTTAAAATCTTGCTAGAATTTTCTTTTTTGATATCTAACTACTTTTAAAAAAGGATTTAAGGAAGCATATTTACCAGTAATCATTGGGAGCTTAAGTAAAAAGGTAGTTTTATTTAAGAGACTTGTAAAACTATCTAGAATCTGTTTAATGCAAATAGTTGCCTGTGAAATGAGGTTATTTTAGTAATAATTATACTAGATCAGACTTTCAGGGATTTCCAAAATGTTTAGTGAAATGTAAAATAATATATTTCTAAAAGTGCCTTTCAAAGATCTGGAATAAAATAGAGCTTCTCTCAAGCTCCTAAGTAGTGATTTAACACTTTCTTATTCATGTTTGTATCCTAGGACCTAACAGGATACAGAGAGTGCTTAGTAAACACTCAATCTTGTTGAATCGATGACTGCTTACTCTACGCAAAGCTGGGCAGACACCATGGGCATGTAGAGATCACTTAGTCCTTGCCCCTAAGGTGTTTATATTCTAGTAGGTTCGTGAAATTAGTTTATGACCAGCATTTTTTTAAAGAAATTAAATAGGAAATAGAGTACATCACATGTAGTAATGGTAAATGTAGTTTCAAGAAGATTTTCTTTGTTACATAAATTTATTTTATGTGCAATAGATTGTGACATAAAATCTGTTTCTTACTGTGGCTTGTCAAACATTTTTGGAAGCCACTGTTTTAGGCACATATGACTGCTCCAAACAAACCTTGCTCAAAAGTGAGGAAAGCAGAGTGTTTAGATCACAGGGTGTGTGGAAGATTATAGACAGACATGAAACTAAAATGGTTAAGACTGAGCCTTGAATGCCATGCTGAAAGTGTGGTGGTGGGGGAGATAGAAAGGATTTTATTGAGTGAGGCAAGTATTTAAGTGTTTTGAATATTTAATATAGTCATGTGGGTCAAAGCCCAGAAAGTATTACAGAGCGTGTAGTGAAAAGTTTCACTTCCACCTCATCCTCCAACCCCCATCCTCTCCCCGCAGCTAGTTCCCCTCTCCACAAACATTCTTAGTTTTGGGGGTATCTTTCCAGAGATGTTTTATCTATGTAAAAAAAAAAATCTGTGTTTTCATTCATTTTTTCTTTTTTACATAAATGATAGTAGACCATGCACCACACCACACCATTCAGTCCTTTGTATTTTTTTAGACATATGGGATTTCTCTGTAACAGTACATGAAGAACTTGAAATTTGTCAAGAAAGGGAAATTACTAGATCTGGTCTATATATTAAGAAGCAGTCAAGGCTAAATTAGAGAAGCAGAGTGTTGTCTTCCAGCTTGACCTTCAAAACTCAGCTTAGATGCTCCTGTCTTTCCTACTTTTCTTGCCTTTGACATCTTAAACCACCCTTCAGCTAAACACAGGTGAGGCTGTGTGCGTATAAAGCCCAGCTGAATTCTCTGTTTCTCACTATTCCCACTAGCTCTTTATGCATTTCCCTCTGGGTCTTTGGGACTCTGCCTCTTTATCTTGCTCACCTCTTTGCTTATCCCAATCATAGCACCTAGCACACTGTATTGTAATTATGTTTTCTCATCAGTTTTTTCCTAACACTATAAGCCCCTTCTTTGTGCAGGACATTTTTCTAGTTGTAGGTACATTGTTTTTTTGAATATTTACTATATTCACCTTGTTCAAAGCCCAAAAAGTTTTTTTTTTTTTAAAGATTTTATTATTTCCTTTTTCTCCCCAAAGCCCCCCGGTACGTAGTTGTATATTCATCGTTGTGGGTTCTTCTAGTTGTGGCATGTGGGACGCTGCCTCAGCGTGGTCTGATGAGCAGTGCCGTGTCCGCGCCCAGGATTCGAACCAACGAAACACTGGGCTGCCTGCAGCGGAACGCGTGAACTTAACCACTCGGCCACGGGGCCAGCCCCCAAAGCCCAAAAAGTTTTGAAGAACCTATTGATACATGGGCACGTAGTCTCTTTCTGTCATTAAGGAGAGTTGGGGGACAGGATTTACACGTAAAAAGATATAGTATTGGCTCAGTGACAAGTCAGTGTGGTATGATTGGTGATAGTGCCAGGTGAGTCACTGGTAGCTGAGGCAATTAAGGACAGCTTATTGGAAGAAGTGGGATGTAGCTGAGTAGGAAGGGAATATGGTATCTTGTATGAGAAGATAAGTAGGTGCATTGAAAACTATTCTATGGGAGAAAGGAACACAGCAGAAGGGGATGGAAGAAATACTGGAAGTGGAAATGTGGAGAAAATGAAGTACAAAAGCAGAATCTAAGCAGGAAATGAGAAATGCTGAGAAAATGAGTCACTCAAAAGGAACCTGGAGATACAGTGAGAAGACTACTGAAGGGGGAAGAGAGAGAGCCCATAGAGGACCAATGTAAACAGAGAGGCACATGAATAAGTCTAAATACACCCTGTAGGCATTTGTGGCCTAACTCATGGAAAGTAACCAGCAGGGGACTCAGCCTTCTTATTTCTCCTTAGCTGCTGGATTTAATTGGCCTGCTGTTTCCTGGTGAGGTGTGGTACCTTAACCTCCAGTGGTCTTTAAGCTTTCTTTTCATTTGCTGATTTATTTAGTAGACTTGCATACTGGGAATATGACTTTCAACTACATATTTATAAAATTCCACTCCAACCAGCAAAACTTGGATGCTCCCTTAGAATCAATTTTAATGGAATTTTTGCCTTCTGTTGTGGTGAAAAAGGAATCCTGATGTTATATTTAAGTCATTACTAGTTGGAATTGTAGATTATATCAGAGTTCATCCTAAGAGTTTTACCATGCCTGTTGTTTTAAATTTGAAAGTCTTTTGATATGCATAACAAGAAACTCACTGAAATCTGAAGTTTGTCCTTTTGGGATCTGAGTATAAAAGAAGACCAATTCAGCTATTAGAAGGAAGTAAAAATACAGTCAGTTCTTTTGTAATTAGTGTTTATTCAGTTGTACAAGTTTTAAAATGCCTGTATTTATTTAAATATTCTTAAACAAATGTTGGAGAAAAATCTTCGTGTTTAATTATATCATACTCATTATAATACTTTAGCAATAATTTCTGCACTCTTCTGTTCAGGAAAAGCAAAGAAAGTATAAATAAATTTTAATTCAGTAGTGGGTGGACTGCCCAACCCATCTGATAAACAGTTGGTGAAATTATTTTTTAAACTCAAAATGGAACTCTGCTTATGAAAACAGTTAACTTTTTTTTTTAAAGATTTTATTTTTTTCCTTTTTCTCCCCAAAGCCCCCTGGTACATAGTTGTATATTCTTTGTTGTGGGTCCTTCTAGTTGTGGCATGTGGGACGCCGCCTGAGCGTGGTTTGACGAGCAGTGCTGCGTCCGCGCCCAGGATTCGAACCAACAAAACACTGGGCCGCCTGCAGCGGAGCGCGCAAACTTAACCACTCGGCCACGGGGCCAGCCCCAAAACAGTTAACATTTTTAAGAGCAAGATAGCATTTATATGTAGCAGTTGTTTTAAATTGGATGTCTTCACAGGGGAGAACTTGGCTTGAACCCCTCCATCCTTAACCTGTGCAGTCATAATAAATATGTTAACTTTTTTGGTACAGTACATTGGTTATGAAAAAGTTTACTAACTATATTGATATTTTCTTGTTTTACCTTGTGTTTTAAATGGATGAATAACTTCTTAATAAGCTGACATGGTAGAAATAGTAAAATAATATGAATTTGATGTAAATAATTGAGAAATCCCCTCCTTCTCTCCTTAAGTATGTGTTTAATCTTGCAGGCTGTAGAAAATCTCTGTTCTTACAAGATTTCTGCAAACTTGTACAAACAGCTGAGACAGATTTGTGAAGATCACATCAAAGCACAAATTCATCAGTTCAGAGAATATCCTTTTAAAACAAAAAGTCTTGTGTTTTCATCTCCACCTCCCTCCTCATCCCTCACTATTTAACCCAGCTTGAAATGGAATACCTGTGTTTTGTAGATTTGTTATTTTTGTTCATTTTGCTTCTAGAGAAAGAAGCAACAAATTTTTGACTTTCCTGCTTTAATTAGGGTCCAAATCTACATTGTAGTATTAGTGTAAATAAGATGCCCTTACGTCTTTACTCTTTTTGTCCTAACAGATTTCCATTTGAGGAAAGATAATCTTCTAAGGGAAATCATAAACTGGAAACACAATGCTCAATTATGTCTAAGACTTGTATTTAAAGGTATTTTTTAGTGGGATCTAAAATTTTTGAACAGTTTAAGTAGCATTTTGTTCTATAATTAAGTGCTATTTGGTTTCATTTATTATGTAGAGTATTCCGTATTTAAGACAAACATGCTCTTAACATCGCATGTATTGCTTGTACTAAGCACTTTAAAATTTCCTTAACATATATCTCACGGATTCATTGGATAGTGTTCTTTTTCTAAAGAAGATCGATAGATGCTGGCAAAACCATTGCAGACAAATGGTAAGCTGGAAAAAGTATTACATTTCAGCTAACTATTGTAGTTAAAAAATAAATTTCTTTAAATATAGGACTATTAGTTTTAAAAGCTTTGCAGTAGGTGGACTGCCTCAATATCTGCTCTTGTTCTGAATTGGAAACTAATTTTGGTTGAGTTTTCTGTTTTAAAACTACAAGTTATATAGGTAAACCAGCATTTTAGAATGACTTACACCTTAGAATCATTTTAATTTTTGTCACACTTAACCAGAAAGTTTTATCTCATTAAAAAAGTTTCATTTAGTCTGTCAGTCTTGGTGAATATGCCCACTATTTGATTACCTGTGAAGGTGCCTGGTGGTCCTATAGTTTAGCTTACTCAGACCACAAGCTTTTCCTTTCTCTCTAATCTGGTATTATTTTATATCTTATTTTAAATGCCCCTTTTCTGCAAACTACATCAAGGATTAAGACAATAGAATATTTTAATAAAAATGGTATGGGAATATTCTCAGGTAGATGTGTTTATCCGTATGTTTGATCCTAGTAGTCTAGTATATATACAGGCGAACCCTGCAATTTTATTCTTATTTGAGAGCAAATATTTCAACTTCACAAAGTAAAAATTGTTTGATTTCTTTTTTCATTGGCAGATCATGATCAGGAGCATTTTTTTGTTTCTGGATAGAACTTACGTTCTTCAGAATTCAATGCTACCATCCATATGGTAAGGATGCCAGAAAAAAAGTATGAAAAGATTTGTTACAAATCATAGTCAAATCTTAATTACACTAATGGAAGAGAGTAAGTGATACTGTGAATAATCTTCAAAAACTCACATTTGGCTTCTAGACTTGTATTTATAGCAGGTTTACCTTCTTAATTATGTTTTGCCTATGCCAATATTAGAGATAATGAACATTCTCTGAGCATATAATAATTTATGAAGTTTTTTTGTTAGTCAAAGGGGTTAAAGTTTGCTCTGGACTAGCTGAGTGTGTGTCATTTTGTTGCTGATCAAGAGTTCCCTCATTATCTTTTAACATTAATATTGAAAATGCCATGTATACGTGAAAATAGAATAGTATAATGAGCTCTTTCCCCACCATGTGCCTAGCATCTACCTATAGCAGTTATCAGGGAGTTTACTAATTTTTGAGTACTGAAGCCAGGTGGCAGATGACCGATTAAGCACTTCTTTAGCAGTACAGTGAAGACCGTTTTACGTCTTTGAACTACTTTTGTCTCTTGATTTATCCGAGGAAGAAATAGCCACCAAAGGAAATACAACAAAACTTAGTTATGGAGGAAGACAGAAATTTAGCTTCAGTTCTCATTAAACAAAACAAGTTTCCTGTATGCTTTAATCTAATAATATCATTTAGAATTAAATGTGTGGATTTTATCCTTTAACGATTGCTGCTTCAAAGCCCGGAGCCCTAATTAGCACGTGGTGAGAATTTAAGCAAGCCTCTCCAGAAGTGATATTGTTCTCAATTAATTTAGATTATATACATTTTTTTATTTTAGGGACATGGGGCTGGAGTTATTTAGAGCTCATATTATAAGTGACCAGAAAGTCCAGAATAAGACAATTGATGGCATTCTTCTCTTGATTGAGAGAGAAAGAAATGGTGAAGCTATTGACAGAAGTTTACTCCGAAGTCTTTTAAGCATGCTCTCTGATTTGCAAGTAAGTTAACTACTTCACTTACTACAGAGCTGATTGCTACCCCAGTTTGATACTTAAAAACCATGTTGATAGTGATGTTCACATAGAAGACATTCAGTAAATATTTATTGAAAAAATGAACTCCTTTATTTTGTTCCACTCTCCCAGATTTATCAGGATTCTTTTGAACAACGATTTTTGGAAGAAACTAACCGGCTCTATGCAGCTGAAGGCCAAAAATTAATGCAGGAAAGAGAGGTATTTAAAAATCATGATTAATAAATTCACTGTGTCTCACAATAGACCTTACTTTATAGAACATAAACTGCCCTTTGCATTTATCTTCCCAGCATTGTGATGCTTTTCTGTCCCTTAGGTGCTCCTTTCTTTTCTCTCTTCTTAAAGGCCAGAATTCTGGATCATATACTCTACCTATAATTTTACATATGATTCAACCCTGTCACCTTTGACAGGGCTGCTCACAGGATCTTTTGGACTTGACATTTTCTGAATGATTTATGGGGAGGAAAACAATAATATAAAAAACTATCTTTGTAGGTTCCTGAATATCTTCATCATGTTAACAAACGTCTAGAAGAAGAAGCAGACAGACTTATTACTTACTTAGATCAGACCACCCAGTAAGTATTTCATGTTCAGCCTAATAGCCTTAACCCGTGTTGTTGAATCACTTAAGGCACGTGAGGCATCCTCAGGCATGTTAGTAACAATTTTCAGGTGTGACTTGAGATTTTTAACAATTGTTTTTATAATACAAATTTCAAGTTGTTATTTTCCCTAGTTAATTAGATTTAACCAAGGATTTGATTATTGGTTGTGTGTATGTGTTTAGGACATAATTAAAAAATGGTATTAGAAGCTGATGTGATCTTTGAAATCTTCAGGCCAATTAAAATTCAGTGGGTGTTTATCAGAGAAACTGTGCTTTCCTAAATATTACCAACCAAAGAGTTCCTGTAAGCAACATAGATAACTTCTTTACCTTCCTAATATAAGCAGAGAAACTTGGAAATAGCCAGCAAGACCATGGAAATATTTATTTCATGGTGTAAATCAAATTCTGAAATATACAAGGTTTCCTTCTTCTAAGCCTAAAGTGAAGTAACTCTGAGCACCAGTCAATTTAAACATAGGATAGGAATATTTAAATGAACACAAAATGAGCTATTTGACTTTTACCCCCAGGAGAGGCTATTTAAATTTTCAGCAAAGTCAAACGTCAATAATTCTAAACTTCTTTTCCTTGTAGGAAGTCATTAATTGCTACTGTAGAAAAACAACTTCTAGGTGAACATTTAACAGCAATTCTTCAAAAAGGTAATTGGTGATTTATAAATAAGAAATTACCTTTAAAATGGTAGCAGCAAGCAAGTAGAAAACATTTTTAAAGATTACCCTTTTTAAAGCCTGATAGCACGTGGCTGCATTTCTGAGGATGGACACTATCCTTTTTCTCTATTCATTACAGTAAACTTTCAGGAGGTACCTCTTTTCCTTAACTTAAAGATATGGGCACTAAGATGAGAGAGGTCCACCAACCCCAGTAAAGAAACACTAGGAATTTGGGAATTCTTGACTTAATTTGTAAGATTACAGTAAGGAAAGGCATTCCTTTTTACACTAAAATGTTTTTGTTCATAGCATGTAAAACCAAGCACTTCTACTAATCCTGAGCGATCTTTGGAGAATACCCTGACTTTTACTTTGAGAATGCCACAAATAGGATAGAGTCTTACCTTTCTCTCCAACCATCTTTTCTTTTGTATAAAATGGATATATTTTAGAACTTTAATGCAGTCACACTGTTATTTCATTCTAAAAACCAAATTTGTTAGAACCTCATTTAAACTTGGCCTATTAATGCATGGTTTTTGATATACCACAGGCCATCTCTGATACTCTGAGATAAAGCTATGTACACTAAACTAAAGCCAGATATACTATGGCTACTGCACATGTGAGATATATATAAATTGGTTTATACATCTGATCTACCAATTCTAAATGGCACAAACTGTTACACAATTATTTTTATTTTTATTTAGACCAAAGTTGCTATATTTAGTTTTCACTTGGAAAGGTGATTGTCTATTTGGTTTTAATTCAAAGCAAATCTCTATATTAAAATTCGCAGACTAGTCATAGTTCAGACCAGCATCACAATAATAATTTAACTTAATTTTCATTAAAATATCTGACATTTTTGTTCACCATTTTTAAATGTCAAAATTTTTGAAAATTCAGGTTTAAATAACCTCCTTGATGAAAACCGAATTCAAGATTTATCTCTCCTGTATCAACTCTTCAGTAGAGTTCGAGGTGGCGTTCAGGTTCTGTTGCAGCAGTGGATTGAATACATTAAGGTATTAACAATTAACCTGCATCTTTTTTACTCTCATAGCTTGTAATCTGTGTGCCCAGAATACATATCAGTGAGCATTTCTTGTTAGATCCAATTTTTTTTAAGTAATGAGAGTTTTGAGAGCAGTCAACTTAAGAATGATAGCTCTATGGCAAATCAGCAATAAAACAGTTACCTTTTTGATGTCTGACATGATTTCTAGCTCCAATCCTTATAGCAGTGAATGTGGGAAAAGAAAGAGGATGTTTTTGGGATCCAAAATTTCTTTCATTTCTTCAGTATTACACTGAAGCCAGATTGCTGTTTTCAAAAAATTCAAAGCTGACTTCTTTAAAAGTAGGGAAAAGAGCCTAGAGTTATAATAATAACCCATTATGATATTGTATACCCAGTGGTCATTTTTTATTTTATAATTATAGATGAATGGTATCAGTCTGGATGTTTTATCACTTTATTTTTTGTTTTCCTGACTTCAAAAACAGCTTTATTTTAATTTTTTGAGATTTTAAAATACGTGTACCTTCTTAGAATATGATTTTGGGATTGTTTTCATTGTAGATAATTCAGTTCTAGTAAAAAGTGGTAATTTTTGTTTTTCAGGCATTTGGCAGCACTATTGTAATTAATCCTGAAAAAGATAAAACTATGGTTCAGGAATTGCTCGATTTTAAAGATAAGGTTGACCATATAATTGATATCTGTTTTCTGAAGAATGAAAAATTTATCAATGCCATGAAAGAAGCATTTGAAACATTCATTAACAAAAGACCAAACAAACCTGCTGAACTTATAGGTATTTTTCCAGTCATTTTTTCTGGTTATTTTGTGTTCTTCTTTTATTCATAAAATTTTAGTCAATCTGAAATTTTGACAGAGCTGTGGTATATTAACTACCTTATTTAATTGAGGTTGCTTAAGCTAGTAGTTTCTAAGAACCTGGATGTAAGGAATAAGGCCCTCAAGCTAAGAACGTCTCAAAGCTCACGTCACACATGATGTTCTTTCGTTGTAAGACAGTACATTGGACCCTATTTACTTTTATTAAGTTTGATACCTGTTTTCCAAGCCTACAGCAACTTAGAGGTGGGGCTGGGTGCTGTTTCTAGAGACCCACACTTAGGGCTACAAGAAAGATAGCACAAAATTATAGTTTCAGTGAGAAAGGAAAAACATTCAGGATGAAAATAAACCTAATAGTCTGGGCCCATTTAGTGTAAGTGTATGGTATACTGCAGTGTATCTCAGGTTTTCCCACCTAAGTACCTTAATGTCAGAGGAGGTACCCTGAGAAGGTCTAGAGTCTTCTGCCAAAAGGATGAAATTTTGTTGGTTTATTACTTATCCTTAAAATTTTGCAGATTTGCCTTCTACTCTGTAATGTATCTGGTTTGTTTTAATAGAAAAGTAGTATTTAAGGCTGCTTACTGTCAGTGTAAAATGAACACTCCAGAAGATGTGCCATGTCTTTCAGTGACTTTGATGACCCCAGCACAGGGCTGTATATACCACCCTCTCCTGGTCACCATACCCCATTTTAATAAACATCAGTATAGTGGAAAGGACATTATATATGGAGCCAGAAGACTTGGGCTTGAGTTATTTATTGGGCTCTGTTATTTATTAGCTCTGTGACATTGAACAAGTCACTTGATCTCCTTGACTTTGGAGACTTTAAAAAATGCATGTATACCTCTGAAGCATTGAAAAACTCAGTATATCACACTCCTATTTGGATATATATAGTGTCCAGTACCTCATGAGTACCCATGATCACTAAACAACAAACTTTTCCCCCATTTTAGCTAAGTATGTAGATTCAAAGCTTCGCGCAGGCAACAAAGAAGCAACAGATGAAGAACTTGAAAAAATGTTAGATAAAATTATGATCATTTTTAGATTTATCTATGGTAAGTATTTATTTTTATATTAATGTTTTTCTTTTAAAACAAAGCACTCAACAGAAACTAGCAAGTGTAATCAACTTGGAGGGAGTATTTATTTGGGAGTTAGAGATTTAAAATTCTATTTATTACATTTAATTCATTTTGTACTTGAGGAATGTTACTTAATTGCTTTGTGCTTTGACTTTTCCACTATTAAGAGCCTTGATTTTTGCTGCTTGTTTTAATCTCTAGAGTATTGATGCTAAAGCTACCAGGCAGCTAAAGCTTTTCTAAAGAAAAGTTAATGCAGTCTTAATTCTTTACAGCAAAAACCTTTGAAATGTCTGGCACAAAAATCTACCTCTAATGTTTCTTGCATTTAACAAACTTGGATAAAATCTATAAATTTAAATAACTTGGAGTAATGGTGTGACTTATTAGGCACTTTGAAGCAATTCTGTCAGAACTTTGTATTGGAATATCATGAGTTGTGTTTTATTTAACATAGGCAAGGATGTTTTTGAGGCCTTCTATAAGAAAGATTTAGCCAAGCGCCTGTTAGTTGGGAAGAGTGCATCTGTAGATGCTGAAAAATCAATGCTGTCCAAACTTAAACATGGTATGTTTGTCATTCATTCTGTCTTTGATTTCTGAGGGAAAGTTAGCTTAAGTTTTGCTTTTTTCAGTCGATTGCCTCTTTAGTCAATCATTGTTTGTGTGATGAAAATGTAAAATAGCTCAGGAGATTTCCAATCTGTTGTACATATCCAGCACTGTTGTTGGTTTTTTTATAGTGAAGCATTGTTCTTGTTTTTATTTGTATAAAAATTTCCCATTTATCTTATGCCTAAATAGTAGGTAAGGTTACTACAGGATTAAAGAGTTTCACTCTGAATTAGTGGGGCATACACTTTGGGGTAAGGATTTTTTTTTTCTTGTGAATGGTTAAATACCATATTTCATGCTAAAGTAAGTTTTGCATTTCATGTTTTCAATTTTAAATTGTTTTTACCACTTTAAAATATTATGAATGTGTAAACATCTTTAATAGAATGTGGAGCTGCTTTCACCAGCAAACTTGAAGGAATGTTTAAAGACATGGAACTTTCTAAAGACATCATGATTCAGTTCAAACAGGTAAAAGTGAGTTAAACTCTTACTTAATTCCTCGAACTTAAATATATTTAGTTATCTCCTTGCTGTGGTGTGTGCTGAAGAGGATAAATAGAAACATGTTTGTTGTACATGCTTCATAGCACCTTAGATGGTATTCACAGTAGAGAAAAATACCACCAATGAAATGTAAGTATATCTGACCTACTTCTGAATTTATTCTCAATATACACCCAAGATAACACAAAAGTAGAAATAAAATGTATTGAACTGAAGTCAGGACAAGAAAAGCTGTAGCTAGGTAGTGAGAACAGGGCTTTCTCCAGCATCTAATCACTGTTGGCTATTTGCATGTTCAAAGCTGGCAATGTGGAAGAAGGGAGGTGATAGAGTGGTTGTATAAGGCCTTTGGGGACATTGGGAATGAAAAGCTAGATGCACAGTTTTGCAGATGTTGGTAGAAGGTGATTTTGAAATATTTAAGAGCATAGGTAATAGTGATATCAAATTAGATTTTCTTCTCTTAGGGTTTTAGTAATGACTTCTTTACCACTGTATTGCTACAGTGGGAAGTGAGAGTGGAAGACTCAAGAAAAAGATCAGGGTCAGTAGGATCATGGGTCCTATAGTAGCTACAGAATAGGGTTTATCTGCTTTGCCCTTTCCCCTTCTTCTTCCTTCCCCACTTCAGGTCACCCCCTGCAAACAGGCAGTGGAACAAGTGAAAAACCGGAGACTTGGGCTTGCTGGTGGGGTGAGGAATGGGGGTTGCTGCAAGGTGTTCCAAGCCCACATAGGGGTCTCCAAAGGTGGGGACTGCAGGTGGTATGGGGGAAAGAATGGAGAAGAGATCCTGTAAACAGCCCAGCCATATGTGAGAAATTATTTAAGTTGATAATGCCTCTAACGAGGTCATGTGATCCTTGTCTGCCATTACACCAAAATGTTAACCAATGCACTTTTCTAGTGCATTTAATATAGGCTTCATTTTTAGTCCTTTTAATATTGCCTTTTATTTTAAAGATGGTCAGTATTTGCATGTAATTTTATAATGGGAAACTTCTTTAATTGGTCATTTTTATGACATGAAATGTATGCACTTTTGTTTTTAAGATCTCAACATGTGTGTTTATCTTATTGTAGTATATGCAGAACCAGAATGTACCCGGGAATATTGAATTAACTGTGAATATCCTGACAATGGGTTATTGGCCAACTTACGTGCCTATGGAAGTCCATTTACCACCAGAGGTAAGAATTGCTGTTTAGGACTTTGAGTTATAAGCATAGAAATGTATGACACTTCCATTTTGCTTGTCATTGAACAATTAAATACTTTTTAAAAGTTTGTGTCAATAAGCACACCAGCACCAAATGCCAAATGTTTTAATATTTTGCTCTTCTATTTATATTACTCTTGAATTTATATCATTAGAGCACAGCTAATGATGCCACGTTTCTGGGTCCAGAGGCAATTTCCCTGACTTGTCTTTCAGTTCCCCAGATTGTACCCATCACTCTGCCCAGCAGTCAGAAATTCTTGCCCATGTGTCCCCTGGGGGTTGGATTGCTGAGTGATGGGTACGTGAGTAAACCCATCCTAACTCTTGGGGAAAAGTCTAACTCAGGACTGAAGTTTAGGAAAAGGGTTAAGCCTAGAGAGATAGATACTGAGAATCCTCCATGGAGATGATCATGGAAGCCCAGGGAGTAGATCTCTCTCCTTAAGGAAGAGGATGTAGAAATAGGAAGAAAAGGGCTGAGGCAGAGCTTGGGAAAAGGCTCACATTTGGCAGGTGGTGGGAAGAAGAACCTGTGAAGGAAACTAGTGAAGAAGCAATAGTGAGATAAAGGAACCAGCATGGTGCAGAGGCACAAAAGCCACTGGTGGTGAATGTTTCAAAAGAGAGAATGATTAAATGTTGCAGAGAGATCAAAGTGTAAAGACTAATGTCATTAGATTTTGTAGTGGAGAGATCATTACCTTACATCAAAGTGATCGGTGGACCTACTGGGTAGCGTCTTAGAAATTTCCAGAAATTATTACACATGAAGTATAAAATAAATAAAACGTGAAGAGTAGCAATTGTGATACTGGATACAGAGCTTAAATAAAGCTTTATTTTATTTACCGTAGATGGTAAAACTTCAGGAAATTTTCAAGACATTTTACCTAGGCAAACATAGTGGCAGGAAACTTCAATGGCAGTCAACTCTAGGACACTGTGTACTAAAGGCAGAATTTAAAGAGGTAAGTGGATGTTCCTAGAACTTACTTTTCACCTTCATCTTTTGATATTGAGGTCATCCCTCTTAACCTGAAGGTTTAAGCTACTTTATAAATTTATCTTAAATATCTGCATGGTACAGTGATAGTTTGTCACAGCTTTGTGTATATTATAAGAATGTGGTCTTTTCCACAGTTAATTGGTCCTGCTGCAAAACCAAAAATAACAACCCTTTTCTCCTACCCTTTCCCCACCTGTGGATGCAGAATTTTCATTGCCACTTCTTGATAGGAAACTTCGTGTTACTAGGAGCTAGAGGATGGAGTGGGTGTTAAGGGGAACCTAGTTCCCATAACTAATTTCAAAAATTTCCCACGGCTTTTCATAACTAATCTGAATCAAACAAGTCGGAAACGCATTTGAAATAGTGATTTCTTGCTTCTCGTGATAAATATCTGTAATGACACATAAGGCTGAGTTATTAATTTTCATTACTTTGTTGTTCTGTTTTAATTATAAGGCTTAAAAAAAATACCTGTAGAAAGGTCACCCAATCCTTGCTCCTATTTTAGGTAGGATCACACCTAAATCCTACACTGAACATACTGGCTTTTCTGGATAATGTTAATCCATGTTTCTAAATCCACTAATTGAAAAATGCTTTTCCTGTAAGAGATTAGTTATTTGATTAATTTTTCATGTGTTTTAAAAAAAATGATGGCTAAACACTGCTGTTTCTCCAACAGGGTAAAAAAGAACTCCAGGTCTCTCTCTTTCAAACACTGGTGCTGCTAATGTTTAATGAGGGAGAGGAGTTCAGTTTAGAAGAGATCAAGCAGGCTACCGGAATAGGTTGGTGTTGAATCAGTTGATTAGCAAGCAATATTCAGTGTCCACTACGTGCACTCCACTAGATTAAGAGCTTTGGGGGGATACAAAGAAATAATCCCTCTCCTCAGCACGCATAATATCACCATGGGGAAAGGGGGAAATGACACTGGAAATTCACAACCAATAAGTACCAATCTGGTGCTGAGTAGGAGTGTGTTAGGAGTTCAGCAAAGGAAGAGATCACTGTGGACTGGCGCAATTGGGAAAGCCTTCGTGAAGGAGGTGGGACTTGAGCTGGGTCTTTAAGTTTTAGTTAGAGAGAAGGCATATGCTGCAAGGGGAAATATTGTGAGAAAAGGCTTGGAGATGGGAATGAGCACAGTGTGGGCAGGAGTCATGAAGAGTTTAACTGCAGCATAGAGTACAGTCATGCATCGCTTAACAACAAGGATGCCTTCTGAGAAATGTATCCTTAGGTGATTTTGTTGTGTGAACATCATAGAGTGTACTTACGCAACCTAGATGGTATCGCCTACTACATACCCAGGCTATGTGGTACTTATAGGACCTCCGTCATATATGTGGTCTGTTGTTGACCGAAACGTGGTTATGTGGCATGTGACCATAGTGAGATATGAAGTTAGATAGATAAGATGGGTAGAGCCTGATCATGGAGAGCCTTAGGAATCCAGTGGATGAAACCTACATTGTAGGGTCTCAAGTGTGTATATACACACATAATGGAAGTGACTTATTTGGACAACTTACCTGGAGTCAGTAGACTATAGGGCAGCTTGGAGGATGAAGAGATTCCAGTCCAGAAGCTAGTGGGGTAATTCAGGCATAAAGTGATGAGGGGCTTAGACTAGAATGAGGGCAATGAGAATGGAGAAGAGGCATCTCTAAGCAAACAACTACTAGGTACGTGGAGGATGAAGGAGAAGGAAGAGTTAAAAGATGATTGCAGGGTTTCTCACCAGAGTTGGTTGGTAGCTTCACGACTAACAGTTGGAAAGAGGACACAGTTTTATGGGGAAGATGATGAATGAAATTTTGGACATAACTGGAGTTGATGGTAATAAAATAGCCAGGTGGAAGTGTCCTTTAAATGTGGGACTAGAAAGAAGTGAGATGTCATTTCTGAAGATTTGGTAGTTATCCACATGGAATAATTGAAGCCTTTAGAGGATAACCAGGAAAAAAGCCATTGTATAGAACAAAGGAAGTTACTGATGACGTTGGGGAAAAAAGGAAACAGTTTTAGTAGAGGGATGGATGGAAGCTAGATTGAGGTTGAATGTCACTGTTTGTATTGATGAGCAAGTAACAAATAACTAAGCTGCTGTTTCTTCTTCAGAGGATGGAGAGCTGCGGAGGACACTGCAGTCATTGGCCTGTGGCAAAGCTAGAGTTCTGGCGAAAAATCCAAAAGGCAAAGATATCGAAGATGGTGACAAGTTCATTTGTAATGATGATTTCAAACACAAACTCTTCAGGATAAAGATCAATCAAATTCAGATGAAAGAAACGGTATTTCTTTTGCATTCTCCTCATCCTAATGCACTGGAATTATGTGTGTTCATAATAAAAATTTATAAAGAAGATTTTATGCTTATAATACTACCACTAACATTTTTTGTTCCTATATCTAGCTCAGTGTATTTCATGATTGGATTTTGCAGTTTTTTTTTTTTAAAGGTTTTATTTTTCCTTTTCCTCCCAAAGCCCCCCCCCCCCCCCCCGGTACATAGTTAGTTGTGGGTCCTTCTAGTTGTGGCATATGCGATGCCGCCTCAGCATGGCTCGACAAGCAGTGCCATGTCCAAGCCCAGGATTCGAACTGGCAAAACCCTGGGCCACAGAAGCAGAGCGCGCAAACTTAACCGCTCGGCTAAGGGGCCGGCCCCTGGATTTTGCAGTGTTTTTGGAGGGAGGTACACACAATTGGGCCTGACACTCAGTGTAGTTTTATATCCTGCTTTTTCTGTTTAACATTAAATCTTTAGAATTTTTCTTTGCCATTAAAAATCTTCATAAAATGACAGATGGCCACACAGTATTCTTTTACATGGCTATTATAATTTATTCAACCGATGTCCACTGTTGGGCAATTAAATTCATAACTTTTCAGTATTGTAAATAAAACTGCAAGAAACATCCTTGTACCTAAATGTTAATTTCTTTGAGCCTTCCTTTATGATAAATTCATGGAAGTAGATCTTTTGGGTAAAAGAGTGTGAACATTTTAAGAGTCCTAGTACGTAGTGCCATATTGTGTTCCAGAAAGGCTGGACCAATTTACACTGTTTAGCAGCCTGAGTGCTTGTCTTAATGGTGCCTTCACCAGCACTAAAGATTGTTTTCTTTTTTAAATCTTTGCCAACTTGCTTGGTGAAAAATCTGAATGATTTAGTTAGTATTTCTTTGCTTAACAGTGAATATTTTGTTAGTTTTTGCCATTTGAATTTGTAAGAGATGTTTACTAAGGAAACGATCAACTGCAGCATTTGAAACTAGTTGGTTTCCAGTCCAACAAGGTTTAATACAGTACTTGAGAAAAAGTTTTAATGTGGCGCTGAGGTCAGTAACTCAGACAAGCTCCTTTCTTGTTTACATTCACATCAAAGATGTAATAATCCCTTAGAAGATTATTGTCTTTTTAAAACGTTTATGCTGTATCAGAAAGAAACTGACTGCAAAAAGCCCTAACTGTTATTTTTAATTAGGTGCTAAAGATGAACGTTTTTTCTTTAGCATTAAAATTGGTAAACTGACTTCTAAACACTTAAATTTCTGTTATTCTTGAATGATTATAGGCACTACCTGTGCATTTCTGATTTATATATTACAAAATAAAAATTTTTTTAAAAAAGTTTGACTCCAGTTAGCTTAGCTAGTTAGTACCATGCTTTGAGTCAGAGGTCAGAGTCAGTCACTTTTACAAATAAGCTAATGTCATGCAGAAATCTGGTCAGTAACCCATTGTGATACATTTAGAAGATTTTGAGGACAGAGTAAAAGAAAATGATAAATTCTGTATTAGCCGCCTCTACTTCTAGAAAGGCAACTTGAGGGGCTGGCCCCGTGGCTGAGTGATTAAGTTCACGTGCTCCGCAGCAGGCGGCCCAGTGTTTTGTTGGTTCGAATCCTGGGCACGGACATTGCACTGCTTGTCAGGCCACGCTGAGGCGGTGTCCCACATGCTACAACTAGAAGGACCCACAACTAAAATACACAACTGTGTACCGGGGGGCTTTGGGGAGAAAAAGGGAAAAAACTTAAAAAAAAAAAAATAGAAAGGCAACTTGAAAGATGGTATTTTTTTGTTAACTAATATTGGCATTACTTCATTGGTGAGGGGCAATATAATTAGGTCAGAAAGGAGTTATGTTTGTAGGGTTTTTTCTGTCATTGTCTATTTGTAAGGTTCCTTTAGATAATTCAGTATATTTAAAGCATTAACAGTGTGTCATGTACACAAAATGTATCATTTATGTAAGTAATCAAGTTTCACTTCAGGTACAATTCCTGAGTTTAAAACTTTTTTTGTTAGGTTGAGGAACAAGCAAGCACTACAGAGAGAGTATTTCAAGATAGACAGTATCAAATTGATGCTGCAATTGTTCGAATTATGAAGATGAGAAAGACACTTAGCCACAATCTCCTTGTTTCGGAAGTGTACAACCAGTTGAAATTTCCAGTTAAGGTAGGTACTTCTGTGTTTCCATATTGAGCTTGTTATATGTAAAAGAGTACGTTAGGTTTTCAGACACGAATCTTACAAACACGGATTAAAGCCTCAAGACCATTTGGAGGGACAGATTTATCATGCTCATATATATGATTCAAAAAAACCTTTGTTGGCATATGTGGGCAGCTGTGACAAAAGGGGAGAACAATTTATAAAAGCTTATACTTGAAAGTTTAGCAGCTGAATGAATCTGAAATTTCCAAGTTCATTTATTGTGTTTGTTTTGAGCTTCTTTGTTATTTTTTTTCTTCCTTGAAATAACTTGGTATTTGACAGATTTGGTTATTTTAAATTAAATTAAATCTCCTGTTTAGTTAGCTTATATAAGTGTCCTTAAACTCTATACAGATAACTAGTCATCATTAGGCGTCTTTTTGAAAAGTTTAGCCATAGTTCTGGCAAACTGAAATTGGTCATTAAATGGACATGTTCCAATGTAAATGCCCAATAATAAAGAGGCTTAGACAGTGTGGTGTTGTACTGGAGTGTTTAACAAGTTTTAAAAGATTCCCAAATCCTCACAATGATAAACACTTAATAGAGTTTGGACAGATTCTTGGCTGTTGGGGTTCTCATGAGCTTTGAGTTTAGGTAAATCACTTCACCTCGTTGATCTTGTTTCCTCATTTGTAAAATGAGGATAATGATGGTACTTACCCCATAGGATTTCTGTGAGGCTTAAATGAGATAATGTAAGTGAAAAATTTAACACTGGGCCTGGCACATAGTAAGTGCTCACTAGCTGTTAATTCTAATAAGGTTGGCTTTCTCTCCTCTCCAAACCTAATACTGCCTTGTTATTACCACACTCTCACCCTCATGCTCTGCCTAATAACCATTTCACTTCCAGCCAGAGAGATCAGCGAGGCTAGGCAAGTTAGAGGATAACTATAGTAAATATTGTGCTGATATTCTAGGTCCCTCACCATAATTAAGAGAAAGCCATTTTGATTTTCAGACCTCGGAATTACTGGGTAAAATTACTGGCTGAAATTTTGGCTGCCCCATCAGACTACTTTCCCTCTTTACCCCACTTGATTAAGTGAACATTTTACATAATCTGGAAAACTCTGTATTAGCAAGCAAGATTATAGTCTTTTTATAAGCTAGATACAAAAGACAGTGGAATTTTGTCATGGAAGAGCTAAGAATGCAATCATGAGGATAAGCTGTAACGTTTCTTGATGATTTTTATAACCACAAGTAGGATTCAGAAATCCAAATCATTTATAGTAGGTAACAGTTAAATCTCACATTAAAGCTGAAATACCAAAATCTGAAATATGAGATGATACTTCACTCATCAAACCATTTGTAGTAGTCGTTAGTGATTTCCCCAGTAAATTTTTTATTTAATTTATAAAAATGCAACCTAACTTTGAGAACTAGCTTTTGCCCAAAGTAAAGGTCTACTTATCTTTTCAAACTGTTTTGGCAAAACTAAATAGCATTCTGTTTCCCTAAACAATATGTTCCTCATGTGAAATTAGGATAAGTTAGTCTTTTGTATTTAGCTGTGCAGAGAATAGCTGGTTCTTAGAAAACCTTTTTAAAATAGAGAAGTAATAGAAAGTATCACATAACAATATGACAAGGTGTGACAGTATATGTGTAATAAAAAACATTTCTTAACCTGGCTTATTTTCATTACACTTTTCTCTTTAAAAATTTAAGGAGATTTAAAAAATAAAAATTAAGGAGATTACATTAAATCAGTGAGCCAAAACTGTTTTTTTTTTAAATGGGGTATTGATAAATGGACTTAGCCAATGATTATGAGCTTTGCACTAAAAATTTGCCCTCTTTTACAGCCTGCTGATCTTAAGAAGAGAATAGAATCATTAATTGACCGGGACTACATGGAAAGAGATAAGGAAAACCCAAATCAGTACAACTACATTGCATAAAACGTTGGCCTTGCAGCATTGATGTAATAAGCAGTAGCCAGTGGATAAACTAACCTGTTGATCCTATATTATTTGACTTCTTTTATACTACCGATGACCAAATGAAGCAGTGTAATGGAAATAGTTGAGTGGACTTTTTCAGTGGTTAACATGCCCATTTAAAGAGTAATACTTACCTTTAAGAAGAATGTTGTTGAACTCTTTGCATGTTATTTAGTATGATGTGCAGAAAACTCTTAAGAAAGTACCTGGTCTTCATGATTCCTCTTTGGAACTGGGGAAGAGGTCCCTATGGCTGTTAAAAGAGGAGGGGGGATTCTTATACACCATTAATTATGAAGCAAAAGGTTTATTTGCTTAAAATGTCATTTAAAGATACTTAAACTGCATGCAGACTTTATTTACTGTACAGAGTTCTGGATGTATTTATCAAATAGAAAAACCACCCTGGACTTGGTTGTACACTTGTTTTGTGATTTCCCTTGAAAAGAAAAATAAGTTGTCACAGCTATTGATATTTTACTAAGTAATGTTCTGTTACACTGAAAGGGATGTTTTAAAAAAAATTTATTTGGAAACAAGTTTTCAAGTAGAGGGACAGTTGCTTACCTAATCTCTTATATATGCACATCCTAAAATTTTCCATTTGTGACTCTGGGATGTGTATATGGCTTAGCCCTCAGTTTACTGTGCTGATTAACAGGTACTTATAAAAATAGCTGAAATAGAAAATTGGTGATCAGTTGTACTAGAAGAACATGGTAGGAGAGAAAAATCCAACTTTCTTCATATTAAAAATGAATACAATACGAACATCGCAAAAGAGACCAAAACCCACATATTTGTAAATTTTTACAGGAGCAAAAATTCATCAACTAGTTTTCAACTTCCTTTAATGTTGTTTGCACAGTTTTGTCTTTAACTTGGACCAATTATAGATTGTTACAGGCTTCCTAGGATTTAGCATTCCTGTTTTCTCTACCAAAGTTTATTTTGGAAGCACCCCAACTCTTTGTTGGTGAATGAGTCTTTCCTATTCAGATGTAAAATTCCTTCCTCTTTTTCCCCACACACCCCCTAGTTTGGAATTTCAAATTCTGTTTCATGCTGATCTTACTCCTTTCAAAATTGCTTGAAGATAAGCATTCTCATAGCCACTGGACACCTACTTTTCAGGGGAATGTCCTAGAATTGTTCATACATAAAAAATAGCAAAAGTATTGTTCTTCAAATTGATAATGTGAGTAAAAGGCTTCTCTTTACCATCAGTAGTTTTTTGTTTTTGTGGGGTTCTTTGTTTTTTGGGTTTTTTTTTTTTTTTTGCTTCCTTGTTTGTTTTTCCTTGAAGCTTTGAAGGGAATTGATCTTGGAAGAGAAGCAGAAAATTTTGTTTTTATTTTGTTAAAAATCAGAACAGCTTTAATGCTTTTTGCAACAGTATACTTCCTTGACTATCTGGAGCCGTTAGAATAAATACCTAGGTCCTAACTGTCAACTGAGGAGACCTGCTCTTGTGTCTGCTGTTGATTGTTTTCTTGAATTCTCAAAGACCTGTGACCAGTCATTAAAAAGAAGTTGCCTGTTTCTCATTTAATTGCATCAACTTGCACAATGTTGGTTAACAATATGTGGTATTTAGAATGCCTTCCGAATTCTTTTTGAGTAGCCATTGCCTTTATTTTCTCAACTCCTCCTTGGTTTCCTTACATGAGCTCATCTGACAAGAAAATGCAGCTATCTTGTTCTCTCTCTACTGGACCATCGACCTCAGTGTTCTAACTCACCCCTGATGGTCTCTGAGATAAGTAGACTATATTCCATGAGACTTGATAGTTACACTTAAGGAATTTTTAGGTAGAATTGGTCCTGTTAGGAGGAGACTCTTGGTGTCACCTTTGTTATCTTGAAAGCTGGTCCCTTCCCTGAGGCTCTTAATTTTTTGAAAACTTGATGCTGTTTCAGCTGAAAACTTGGCAAGACTATTAAAAAACAAGTTGAAGGGAGCTGTTTAAGAAATTGAAAAGTCATTGCAAACAAAATCGGATAATTGTGACTTTCAGTTCTGTATCAGTTGAATTTTTGTGCTCTTTTCCCTGTGTACGTGGTGGTTCTATTTTTCTCCAATAAAACTTTTATTTAAAAAAAGTTTGTAGAGAAGATCTTTAAAATACAAATATGTTAAGAAAGTTATAAAACCATAGAACTTAAAATCTTCCTAATTTAGTGAATTCTCATTTGTCAATTTTGTTATTTTTTAAATTTCTCTTTTTATTTTTGTGGTGGTTTGGTGATAATGCTATAGGAATGTGGAGGAGGGTATGGAAAAGGGTGAGTAAAATTCCCAGGAATCCTCAAGGTGGGTATTTATTCTTAAATGGCATATTTTAGAAAAATCAAATACAAGTATGAACATTGTTTCATTCAAATCCTCAAAGTCAAATAGTTTCATGAAGTCGGTATGAAACTAGTCTAGATTTAAGTTGAGGGGAGAAGGAGCAATTAAATGTACTCTTGTTTTAGTCATGGCACTTGATCCGCCTTGTCTGTTAATGTGAGCTCTGGGCCATATGCTCTCAGAGTAAGATGCTCCTTGAGAACCGTACCAAATCAGAGATCAAGAAGCTTTTTTGAACCCAGTTCCTGAGTCTGCTGAATGGTCTTAACATGTTGTCTAGCCATACTCTTGAAATTCTTATCTTGTACGTGTGCATAGAGTTCAGGAAATCGGTTTATTCTGTATATCTGTGTTTCAGGATTTTTGGAAGTTTGTTTTTTAATCTTAATATCCATATATCTTTTTTACATTAGCTGTTTTTTGTTTGTTTTAATGACCATTCTGTTTAATGCTGTGAATGGCAGGAGTGTTATAAACATGTTCTGTTCTCTCATCTACATAAAATTGCCAAAACAAATTGTTCATTAAAAAGAAAAGAGTAGTACTAATGGGAATTTGCATAATTATGCTTTATATGGTATCCTTGCTAATGCTTCGTTAATCAATAATTTTCAGTTTCCAACAAAAAATTTGAATAATGAACAGATTTGTTCACCTGAAAACACTTGGTTCAAATTTAACACTTTGTTCATTTTTTTCCTTTTTCCTTGCTATTAAAGAGTATTTCTTTTTTTGAACAGGCACATAACATACTTTTATAATTAACAATCCTTAGAATTTGTCTAGCATAGTAAAAAAAATCGAACTTTTCTTTTGTAGAACCTTTTATATTTGATGTAGAATATAAGAATGTGCTGCAGATGCAGATTGCAACTTAATAGTTTTGCAAGCTATGAAAACAGATTCTCCTATCCTCTTATTCTTAGAATAAAATCTTTTAAAACATTTCTTTAATGAAAATTTTTTTGTTGTAAAATACACATAACATAAAATTAACCATTTTAAAGTGTACAATTCAGTGACAGTACATTCACTATTTTGTGCAACCTTCACCATTCTTTAGTTCCAGAACATTTTCATCTCAAAAAGTTTTTAATATAATTAAGTCCAATAAATCTACTTTTTCTTTTGTTGCTTTTGCTTTTGGTGTCATAGCAAAGAAACAAGCTAATGATGATATACCCCTATGTTTTCTTGTAAGAGTTCTATTGTTTTATTCCTTACATTCCTCTCATTTGAGTTAAATTTTGTATCTGGTATCAGGTAAAGGTCCAACTTCATTCCTTTGTATATGGATATCCAATTGTCCCAGCACCATTTGTTGAAGAGTCTGTTCTTTTCGCCATTGAATAGTCGTATCATCCTTGTTGAAAATCAATCGACCCTAGCTCTATAGGTTTATTTCTGGACTTTCAATTCTATTCCATTGATCTATGTATCAGTTGTTATGTCAGTAATACACTGTTTCGATTACTATAGCTTTTTAGTAAGTTTTGAAATCGAAAAGTGTGAATCCTCCACTTCTTTTTCAAGACTGTTTAGCTATTCAGATCCCTTGCTACTGCATATGAACTTTAGGATCAGCTTTTCTATTTCTGCAAAAAAGGCCATTGAGATTTTGATAGGGGTTGCATTAAATACAGTGATCACTTTGGGGCTATTACCATCTTAACAGTATTAAATCTTCTAGTCCATGAATACATGATGACTTCCCTTTTTATTTAAACCATTTGTTTTAGGTCTCTTAAAAATTTTGTTCAGAAATACAGTCATGCATCGCTTAACGATGGGGATACACTCTGAGAAATGCGTTGTTAGGTGATTTCTTCATTCTGCGAACACCATAGATTTGTACTTACATAAACCTAGATGATATAGCCTACCGCACAGCTAGGTACTAATGGTCCTAATCTTATGGGACCACCATTGTTTATGCGGTCCGTAGTTGACTGAAACGTCATTATTTGGCGCATGACTGTATTTTGTACTTTTCACTGTACAAGTCCTGCATCTTCCTGGTTAAATATGTTCCTGTGTATTTTTGTTCTTTTTGCTGCTGTTGTGAATGGAATTTTCTTAATTTACTTTTCAGATTGCTCATTGCAAGTGTATACAGTTTTTGAGTGTTGATCTTGTACCCTGCAACTTTGCTGAATTGGTTTATTAGCTTTAATATATTTTTGTAGATTTTTAAGGATTTCCTATATGTAACATCTTTGTTGTCTACAAATATAGTTTTACTTCTTCCTTTCCAATTTGAGTGTGTTTTATTTCTTCGTCTTGCCAAATTTCTCTGGCTGGAGCTTACAATACGGTGTTGAATATAAGTGGCTAAAGTGGATGTCCTTGTCTTGTTCCTCATCTTATGGGGAAAGCTTACAGTCTTTCACCATTGAGTATGTTGGATGTGGGTGTTTCATAAATGCCCTTATCGTGTTGAGGGAGTTCCCTTCTATTCGTAGTTTTCTGAGTGTTTCTGTCATTAAAAAATGTTGAATTTTGTCAAATGCCTTTTCTACATCAGTTGAGGTAATCGTGAGGTTTTTTTCTTCATAAATTGGTGTATTCAACTGATTGGTTTTCATCTGTTGAGCCATGCTTGCATCCCTGACATAATCCCCACTTGGTCAAGATGTATAATCGTTTTGATATGCTGTCAGATTTGGTTTGCTAGTATTTTGTTGAGGATTTTTGCATCTAAATTCATAAAGAGATATTGGTCTGTAGTATTCTTGTGGTGTCTTTGTTTGGCTTTGGTATCTGGGTAATGTTGGCCTAATAAAATGAGTTATGAAGTGTTTCTTCCTCTTCTAGTTTTTGGAAGACTTTGAGAAGGATTAGTGCTAATTTTTTAAATATTTAATAGAGTTTACCAGTGAAGCCATCTGGTCCTTGACTTTTCCTTTATGGGAAAGTTTTAGGTTTTCTTTTTCTTTTCTCCCCAAAGCCCCAGTACATAGTTGTATATCCTAGTTGTATGTCCTTCTAGTTTTTTCTGTGTGGGATGCCGCCACAGCATGGCTTGATGAGCAGTGCATAGGTTCGCACCCAGGACCCGAACTGGTGAATCCCGGGCTGCAAAAATGGCGCACACAAACTTAACCATTACGCCACCAAGCCAGCCCCTATGGGAAAATTTTTGATTGTTGATTCAATGTCTTTATTTAAAGGTTTGGTCAGATTTTTTATTTCTTCTTGAGTCAGTTTTAGTGTTTTGTTTGTTTCTAGGAATTTGCCAGTTTCATCTTGGTTATCTAATTGGTTGGTGTACAGTTTGTTTATAGCATTCTTTTATAATCTTTTTGATTTCTGTAATGTTGGTTAGTAATGTCCTACTTTCATTTCTGATTTTAATAATTTGTCTCCTTTCTTAGTCTAGCTAAAGGTTTGTCAATTTTGTTTATCTTTTTAAAGAACCAACTTTTGAATTTGGTGTGTTTTTGTTTTTCTGTTCTCTGTTGCATTTATTTCCACTCTAGTCTTTATTGTTTACTTCCCTCTGCTAGCTCTGGGTTTAGTTTGCTCTTCTTCTTCTACTTTCTTAAAGTGTAAAGTTAGCTTATTGATTTGAAATCTTTCTTTTTTAGTGTGTAGGCATTTACAACTATAAATTTCCCTCTGGGCACTGCTTTCACTCCATCTCATAAGTTTTAGTATATTATTTTTGTTTTCATTCATCTCAAAGTACTTTCTTTTTTTTTAAATAATTTTTTTTAAGATCTTATTTTTTTCCTTTTTCTCCCCAAAGCCCCCCAGTACATAGTTGTATGTTCTTCGTTGTGGGTCCTTCTAGTTGTGGCATGTGGGACGCTGCCTCAGCGTGGTTTGATGAGCAGTGCCATGTCTGCGCCCGGGATTCGAACCAACGAAACACTGGGCCGCCAGTAGCAGAGCACGTGAACTTAACCACTCGCCCACGGGGCCAGCCCCTCAAAGTATTTTCTAATTTCCTTTGTGATTTCTTCTTTGACTCAATGGTTGTTTAAGAATGTGTTGTTAAATTTCCACACACTGTGAAATTTTCAATTTTCCTTCTGTTAGTGATTTCTCATTTCATCCCATTGTGGTCAGGGACGATACTATGATTACAGGTCTTTTTAATTTATTGAGACTTGTTTGTGGCCTTTCACATAATTTATCCTGAAGAATGTTCCATGTGGACTTAATAAGAATGTGCATTTTGCTATTTTGGGTGAAGTGTTCTATATGTTTGCTAAGACAAGTAGGTTTATAGTGTTGTTCAAGTCCTCCGTTTCCTTATTGGTCTTCTGTCTTATTGTTTTATACACTATTGAAAGTTGAGTATTGAAGTCTCCAACTATTATGTGGAACTGTATTTCTCCCTTTAATTCTGTCAATTTTTGCTTAATATGTTTTGGAACTCTGTTAGGTGTGTACATGTATATGCTTGTTATATCTTCTTGGTGATTCATCTTTAATGTATATTGTTATTGTCTCTTGTAATAATACAGTTTTTTACTTAAAAGTCTGTTTGTCTGATATTAATAGAGACACCCTAGCTCTCTTTTGGTTACTCTTTGCATGCAGTATCTTTTTCCATTCTTTCTCTCTCAACCTATTTGTGTCTTGGGATCTAAAGTGAGTCTCTTGTAGACAGCCTATAGTTAATGTTTTCCTTTAATCCATTCTTCCAATCTCTATGTTTTTAAATTGGAGAGTTTAATCCACTTACATTTAAAATAATTACTGATAAGGAAGAACTTCTGCCTTTTTGCTATTTGTTTACTATATATCATATCTTTTGTTTTTCAAACCCTTTATACTGCCTTCTTTTGTGTTGGATTTTTTTGGTAGTATACCATTTTGATTCCCTTCTCATTCCTTTTTCTGTATATCTTTTAGTTTTTTCTTAGTGGTTACCCTGGGGATTGCAATTAACATCTTAAATTTATAACAAACTAGTATGAATTAATACCAGATTAGCTTCAGTAGTATATAAAACCTCTGCTCCTGTACACCTCCAACCCTCCTCCTTTACGTGGTGGTTGTCACAAATGACATCTTTATACATTGTGAACCCATTAACATAGAGGTAAAATCTTCTTTGTGTTCCTTAATCAGTCTTGAATAGTCAGTAAGGCATTAAGTTGAAAATAATGATCAAAAAGTAAGTTGTTTTCAGTTATTCATCTGTTTTGTTTTGATTAAAAGTCCCTCTATGCATAAAAGTATTTTCTTGTTCATTACTATATGTCAGAAGTTATTTTTTAAACATTTTGCAGATAGTAAGAAAGTTTTTATTAAGTGCAAAGACATCTATTCCATTGTTTGTTATTTGTCATTGGTGTTAATACCTTGTGAAAACATTTTAAAAAGGTAATTAGTTGCCTGAAAATTCTTCACAATGATTAACATTATGCCTAAAAGGCCACTATGAAATTTGCTAGATTTTTAAAAGACAACACACAAAAAAGTAAAGGCAGATTTTCTTAGAATCAGGTCTACATGATGAATGGTGCTTCTATCCTAAAATTAGTTGCAGTACAGGCTGTGGAGTTGGCATCTTTCGAAGATTTTTTTCTTTTTTCTTTTATACATGTGATCATGTGCTTAAGGACAATCATTTTTTTTAATTGCTTTTTGGTAAGGAAAAATTGGCCCTCAGCTAGAATCTGTTGCCAATTTTCCTCTTTTTTTTCCTTCCCAAAGCCCCAGTGTATAGTTGTATATCCTAGTTGTAAATCGTTCTGGTTCTTCTGTGTAGGATGCTGCCACAGCATGGCTTGATAAGCAGGATGTAGGTCCATGCCCAGGATCCGAACCAGCAAACCTTTTCCAGGCCGCCGAAGTGGAGCATGCGAACTTAACCACTACCCACTGGGCTGACCCCAAAGATTTGTTTCTAATTACTCTCTGAGTTAAGGAACTCTGATTATGAGGCAGAAAGGTACTGCACATTTACTCCTTTTATCTAACTTTAAAAAATATTAAATTCTCACTGCCAGCCCGGTGGCACAGTGGTCAAGTTCACACGTTCTGCTTCAGCGGCCCAGGGTTCGCCAGTTTGGGGGACCTATGCACTGCTTATTAAGCCATGCTGTGGCAGGCATCCCACATGTAAAACAGGAACATGTGCACAGATGTTAGCTCAGGGCCAATCTTCCTCAGCAAAAAGAGGAGGATTGGCCACAGATGTTAGCTCAGGGCTAATCTTCCTCAAAAAAAAAAAGCTTAATACACTTTATAAAATGTTTAGAAATATCAAATGTCCTGCTTAACCTACATAGTTTTGCTTATTTTAAGAGGAAATTAGATATAGACAGCTCAAATATTTTAACCAAAAACAAGAGTAGCATAAAATCCTCAAAGATCTTTAAGTGCATGGGGCCTAAATTAGCCTTCTCACCCTACTGCTAGGTGTGCAGTAATAAACAGAGGGTCATTTCCCTCACAATTGAAGTGGATTAGAAAAGTTGATTGTTCCAGACCAGTATGTATAATTCCTACATAAAACAGATCATTAGGTTCTATAATCCAAGAATGTGTATTTTGGGGCTATCAGATTCTATTATAATATTTGAACATTCTGTTCATTTAATTTATAACATCATTCCAAAACAGACCATTAAAATGTGCTTTTTAGAAGAAAGGAGTGGGATGCAAGAAGAAATTGTGACCCCCAGTAATTGTTGAAATGTTCATATATCTAAATAAGTATTGACTAAATGTAAAAATGACTAATTTTGTTGGGGAAGGTAAAAATAAGATAGGCACTAAAATACTAATAAGCAAGGTAACATCGAAGATGGAAAGAGAGAGTTTGGAATTTAAATGTATTAAAATTTTTGTTCAGAAGAAAGATAAACTTTGGACTCTAAGTATGCATATTAAAATTTAGGGACACCTAGAAATCCCACTCCTAATTTACCTAAGAGGAATGAAAACTTATGTTCACACAAAAGCCTCTATGTAAAGGTTTGTAGTAGTTTTATTTATAGTTGCCAAAAACTTGAAACAACCAAAAATGGCCTTCAACTGGTGAATAGATAAACAGTGATTGGTGCGTCTCTGCAATGGAATACTACTACTCTGCAGTTATAAAGGAACAAACTATTGATACATTCAACAACATGAATAAATCTTTAATGCATTGTGCTAAGTGAAAGAAGCCAGAATTAAAAGGCTGCATATGGTTTAATTCCATTTACATCACATTATGCAAAAGGCAAGACTAAGAGTGAAAACAGATAAATGATTAGCGTGGGTTGGTGTAGGGAGAGGGGCTGACTACAAAGGGACAATAAGAGGGAATTTTGGGGGCTGATGATGCTTTGTATCTTAATTGTGGTGGTTCTACTATGCATTTGTAAAAACTTGGAAGTGTACACCAAAAAATGAATTTTACTGAATGTAAGTTAAAATTTTAGAAAATATTTTAAAGGTGACCCTAAAAGAATAAAAATAGAATGAATAACAGCCAAACCAGTAGAGGGGGGAAACGTGATCAGTCAAATAGAGTCAGGGAAAGGGTGCGATGGGGAAAGATAGCTTAGAAAAAGCAAAGTTAATACAAAGCACAAAATAATATGGCAGAGAGTGCTCCAATATAACCAAAAGGCCCCATAAAAAAAATCAAAAAGTCCACGGACTGGGAGAAGATATTCACAGTACATATAATCAACACAAGATTAGTATTCAGAAAATATACATAAGTTGTATAAGTCAATAAGAAAAACAGGCAACTCAAAAATGAGCAAGGAATATGAGTAGGCAATTCACAGAAGACAAAACCCAAGTGACCAATAAATTTATGAGATCAACCTCTGTAACGAGTGTAATACAACATAAAACAGTACAGTGCTATTTCACATGCATCCAATTGGCAAAAATGGAAAAGCCTCACAGCACTAGATGACGGTGACGAAGAGCCATGTAAACTCATCCATGGTAGGGATATGAGTTAGCACAACTACTTTGAAAAGCAATATGGTGAGATTTTGTAGTTAAAGGTGCCCACATCTTATGACTAAGCAATTCTAATCTTATATATCCTAGAGAAATTCTCATACCATATACAAAGAGAAATACACAAGAATGTTTATTTCTGTATCTGTAATTAGTAAAAAAAAAAAAATTGAAACAGACTGTGTGTTCAACAGCACAATGGATAAATTGTGATACATTAAAAAATATATAACAGTTTAAACTTTATAAAACAGTATAAAAATTTATAAAATATATTTATAAATGTTATATAGCAGTTAAAATGAGTGAATTAGTACTATATCAACACAGATAAATCTCTAAAACGATGAAAATGCAAGGTGCAGGAGAATACACATCCACTATGATACCATATATACATTTTTAATTATTAAAAGTAAACATTTAAAGTTTAAAAATATAAACAATACTTTATAATGTTTAAGGGCACATGTACACACATATACATTTGAAGTAGTAAAATTTAAACATTACCTTAGAATGATAAACACCACATCCAGGATAGTGCTAATTTCTGGGGGAGGAAGAAGAAGAATTAGGTCAAGAGTGGGGTACATGGAACTTGAAGTGTTTTCTGTAGTGTTTTCTGAAAAGGTGCAAACCCTATGATCAAGAAATCCCACCCCCACGCTGGAGGAGCTCTTCCTCCGTGTGCACTGCAAGACTTGTACATGAATATTCATAGCAGCAGTTTCCAACCAAGTTTTTTGATTAAGTTCTGTGAATATTCTATATCGTTACTAATTTTTTATCTTTAATTTTAATCTATCAATAATTGAGAAAGGTGCATTACAATCTCCCACCTTTTATCATTATGTAGTGACCCTCTCAATCCCTAGCAATGCATTTAAAATTTTTTTTTGTCTTATATTAATGTAACTACCCTGGCTTTTGGCTAGTATTTGCTTGGTATATCTCTTCATTGCTTAACTGTCAGCCTTTCTCTGCTCTTATATTTTAGGTGTCTCTTCCATATTAGCTGGATTTTCCCCTTTTTCCCCTAGTCTGACAATCTCTGTCTTTTAACTGTCAAATTACATCCATTTGCATTTATCGTGTTCACATTCATTTGTATTTGTTTTTAACATCTTACTGGTTGCTCTCTATCTGTTCTAATCTTATTTGCTTTTTATCCTTTCTCAGTTTAAAAATAATTACTGAGTTTTGTTTATTTTGTTTTCTTATTCCATCTTCCCCACTACTTATTTGGAAATTATATATTCTATTTCTGTTCTTTCTTTTTCTGTGAGGAAGATTGGCCCTGAGCTAACATCTGTTGCCAATCTTCCTCTTTTTGCTGAGGAAGATTAGCCCTGAGCTGAAATCTGTGCCAGTCTTCCTCTCTTTTCTATGTGGGATGCCGCCACAACATGACTTAATGAGCAACGCGTAGGTCTGTGCCCAGGATCCAAACCTGTGAACCCCGGGCCGCTGAAGCAGAGCGTGAGAACTTAACCACTATGCCACCAGGCAGGCCCCTATTTCTATTCTTTTACTGATTATCTTTGATATGTTACCATGTATGCTTAACAAAGCCTAAAGTTAGCATCAAATTCTCCCAAATTATATATGGATGTTAGAACACGTTAATACTGATCACCTCTCTCCCACCTTACACAGTATTGTTGTCCAGCATTTTAGTGTTGTCCTCTTTTTAAAAATAAACACCATAAATTAAAACACCACCTTCTCAGTGAGGCTTACCATAGCCACTATTTAAAACATCAGCTTGCCTACCAACCCCGTGAAACATACACATTCACTCCTGATTCCTCACTCACTCTGCTCTTCTTTTTGCTTTTTTACATATCACTTGTTACCTTTTAGCTTACTATGCAATTTACTTGGTTAATATGCTTATAGTGTATTGTCTCTTTACTCCACTGGAGTTTAAGCTCCATTAGGGCAGAGACCTTTGTTTTGTTCATTGATGTATCTCACTTAGAGCAGTTTCTAGCCATAGTAGGTGCATTCGTTTCCTGTGGCTGCTGTAACTAATTACCGCAAATGTAGTGGCTCAAAACAACAGAAATTAATTCTCTCACAGTTCCAGAGGCCAGAAGTCGGAAATCAGCTTCACTGGGCTGAAATCAAGGTGTTGGTAGGGTCACACTCCCTCTAGAGGCTCTTGTCTTTTCCAATATCTAGAGCTGCCTTCCTTGGCTCATGTCCCCTTCCTCCATCTTCAAAGGCAGTAGCATAGCCACCTTCTCTCTCTGACTCTGCTTCCATCCCATGGCTTTCTTTTCTGTGTAATCTCCTTTTGCCCCTCTCCTATAAGGACACTTGTGATGGCATTTGGGGCCCATCCAGATAATCACAAAATAATCTCATCTCAAAATCCTTAATCACATCCACAAAAACCCTTTTTTCCAAATAAGGTAACATTTTACAGGTTTCAGAGATTAGGCCCGGGCATCTTTGGTTGGACATTATTCAGCCTACTACAGTAGGTGATAAATATATGCTGAATAAATGAACAACTTATTTTATACCATGTATAGATTAATTTACATATTTGCCAATTTTTTCCCTCACTATTCCTTCTGACAACTCAGAGCTTCTTTCTGAGTTAATTTTCTTTTCTTCTGAAGTACATCTTTTAGAAATTTACTTGGTGTAGGTCTATAGGTGTAAATTTGTTTTTCCTTAACTGAGGATGTTTTTATTTCCAACTCTGTCTTGAAATATTAATTTTCAGGGCACATAGTTCTTGGTTGCCTGTTATTTTTTTCTCAGCACTTGGAAGATATCATTGCACTGTCTTCCAGCTTCAATTATTGCTCTAAAGAATCTGCTGTTACGGTTAAGTTTGCCTGCTCTGCTTCGGCGGCTGAGGGTTTGCCAGTTTGGATCCTGGGTGTGGACATGGCACCGCTCAGTAAGCCATGCTGGGGCAGATGTCCCATATATAAAGTAGAGGAAGATGGGCATGGATGCTAGCTCAGGGCCAGTCTTCCTCAGCAAAAAGAGGAGGATTGGCAGTGGATGTTAGCTCAGGGCTAATCTTCCTTAAAAAAAAAGAACCTGCAGTTAGCCTCATTTTTGTTTCTTTACAGATGATCTGACTTATCACTTGATTATGTGTAAGATTGCCTCTTTGTGGCAGATGTTCTGTCATTTCAGTATGGAGAAGTGTGGATTTGTTTTTATTTATCCTTCTTGGTATATAATAATGCTTCATTTACATGTAGATTCATGTCTTTCATTGGTTGTGAAAAATTCTCAACTATTACTTTGTTTTTCAAATATTGCCTCTTCCCCATTCTTCCTCTTCTCTCCCCCCAGAAATAAATTAGGCATGTTAGAGCTTTTTATCGTATCCTCTATGTCTAGCTCTCTTTCATATTTTCCATCTCTAATGCTGCATTTTGGGCAATTTCTTTAGATCTATTTTCCAATGACCTAATTCAGTCTTCAGTACCCAATCTGTTTAATTCATCTACTGAACTTTTAATTTCAATAATTTATATTTTTTATTTCTAAAAGTCCTATTTGCTTCTTATATAAATCTTCCTGATCATTTTGATAGTCTGCTGTTGCTTGGTCATTTTTGTAGTTCTTTCTTTTGATTAAATATTTTTCTTATATTAGAAACTTTACATCTTGTATCAGATAATTCTAATATCTGAAGGGCTTGGGGGATATAAATTTTTTGTTTATTTCTGCTGACTCATTCATGGTGGTTTATTTCCTTGTACATTTGTTGATTTTTGTCATCCTCATTGTGATTTTAATTTCCATTTCTTTGATTACCAATAAGATGGAGCATCTTTTTCAGATATTACTTTGGCCATTTAGATTCCTTTTTTCATGGTGTTCTTGTTCAAATCTTTTGCCATTTATCTTATGGGTAGTCTGGTCTTATTGTTTTATAGGAATTCTTTATATATTTTAGATCAGTGCTGGCCAATAGAAATATAATATGAGCCCCATGTATAATTTTAAATCTTCTAATAGCCATTTTTAAAAAAGCCAAAAATAAACAAGTGAAATTAATTTTAATATGTTTTATTTAACCTAATGTATTAGGGTTCTCCAGAGAAACAGAACCAGTAAAATATATATGCACATATATTTACATATATATATGAGAGAGAGATATTTATCATAAGGAATTGGCTCACATAACAATGGATGCTGAGAAGTCCCAAGATCTGCAGTCAGCAAACTGGAGACCCAAGAGAGGTGATGATGTCATTTCTGTCTATAAAAACAGCAGACTCAAGACCCAAGAAGAGCTGATGTTTCAGTGAGAGTCTAAAGGCAGGAAAATACTGATGTTCCACCCCAGCAGTCAGGCAGGAGGAAATTCCAAGTCACTCCTGGGAGGGTCAGCCTTTTTGTTCTATTCAGGCTTTCAACTGATTGGATGAGGCCCATCCACATTGGGGAGTGTAATCTGCTTGACTCAGTCTACTGGATTCAAATGTTAATCTCATCTAAAAACACCCTTACAGACACACCCAGAATAATGTTTGACCAAGTATCTAGGAACCCCATGACCCAGTCAAGTTGAGACATAAAAACCATCTCACCCAATATATCTAAAATATTTTCATTTCAACATATAATCAGTATAAAAAATATTAATGACATATTTTACATTTTTATACTGTCCTCAAAACCCAAAGTGTAGTTTATACATACAGCCCATCTCCATCTGGATTAGTCACATTTCTTTTGCTCAATAACCAAATATGGCTAGTGGCTATTGTATTATACACACTAGCTTGCCTTTTCAGTCTTAATGGTGTCCTTTGATGAACAGAAGTTTTAAATTTACTTTAGTCAAATTTATAAATCTTTTCCTTGATGGTTAATATTTTTTGTATATTAAGAAATGTTTCCCTACCTCAAGGTCTTAAGGATATTTTTTCCTAGAAGCTTTACTGTTTTAACTTTGACATTTAGATCTATAATCCACTTAGAATATATTTTTTGTGTATGGAGCAAGGTTAGGGTCAGGTTTCATTTTTTTCCATATGGAAATCCAATTGAGCACTATTTAATGAAAAAACTCTGTTTCCCCCCCAATCTGCAGGGCCACCCCAGTCATATTTCAAGTGTCCATATACATGTGGGTCTGTTTCTAAATGCTCAATCTGTTCCACTGATATGTTTGCTATCTATGAACCAATACTGTCTTAATTACTATAGCTTTATGGTAAATCTTGATAGTGGGTAAAGGCAGAGCCTCTTACTTTGTTCTTTTTCTGTAGAAGTGGTTCTCCAAGTGTGGCATCAATATCAACTGGAAATTTATTAGAAATGCAAATTTCAGTCTCCATTTCAGACTTACTAAATTTGAAAGTCTCAGGGTAGACCTAAGAAATCTGTTTTAACAAGCCCTCCAGGTGATTGTGATGCACTCTGAAGTTTGAAAGCCACTGTTCTAGAATAGGGCTCAGCAAGCTATGACCTGCAGGTCAAATATGGCCAGCCATCTGTTTTTGTACTTCAAGCTAAGACCTTCTTTAATGACTTTTAATAAAGTTTTATGATATTTTCCAT